AAGAACCTACCCTTCCCCCCAAGAAAATCCCACCCTATGAGAGTCTGTAAAATGTGTTTAAACACATTAATTTCTAATCCAAGGAGCCTGCCATTAAGAAGTTCAGGACGAGGTGATTACCACACTGAGGTGGGTTGGACCCGCTCAATGTCAGTGCCTTGCAAAGGCCACCTGCAGCCCCTCTTCCCTGCAGACCCCGTTATGGGCCAAGGTGCCAGAAGGGGGCACACAGGGGACAGGTGTTTGCAAATAATGTGCAGACCAGACCAAAGCATGATGGTTTTCTTCAGCACACGTGAAAGGCCCCCACATTGTGAACCTAGGTGTTAAGGCAGCCATTTGAAGGGAGAGGGAGAAATTTTGGAAGCTGTGGATGCAGATTTGAAAATAAATAAATTCTCTATGGGCAGCACTGAGCAGTGCTCATCCCTTATGCACATGCCTTTAAGAAGAAGGACACAGCTCTTGCTGTAGCAGACTGCCTTCGAGCGCCTTCCCCAAGGGCCTCTCAGTGAGGTTATCTGCAGGGTATGTTTGGTTTCAACACCGCTGCCTACCTCGTGAGGTACACCCAGCAAGACACTGCGAGAGGCTGCAGGAATGGCTTCAGGACATGCCTGCTCGCCCCATGAGTAGGAAGGTTTGTCATCAGCTGCTCTCTGTGGGGCTGCCCAGACCCCCAGGAAACCCCCTGGCTCTCTGACATGTCTGGGGATCAGAGGGTAGCTGGGATCTGCAACTCTGGACCAGCGCCACGTCATGATCTCCAGCCTCAGGGGAGACTTAAGAATGCTTCTTAAGCTTGCTCTGAGGTTTACGCATTGCTGAAACAGTGCAAAGGTGACAGAGAAGAAGCCAGGAACTTGTCCAATATACTAATGTGCACCAAGCAATCTAAAAGCAGAAACAGATGCTTTCTTCTTCCAGTCAAAACTAACACAGCAGCTAATGATTTTACCAAGCATGCAAGTTACTTACTTGGTTAAAATCTTTCAGGAAATACTTCCAGCCATCAGGTAGTCTTGGAGGGGGTAGAAAGGGAAATCAAGGCACACATACCCCAAGTTGGAGCCCTGCACTGGAAAAGAGGCTTCTAAATAAATATGTAAAACAAGTATGGGTTTTTGTCTGACAAATTTACAGTGAGCAGAACTGAGCTTTCATCACTACGAAAGAGCATGGTTCTGGAAGGGCTTCCCAGGGTAGGACAGGGGTGATGACATGCATGTGCCTGCTCCAGAAGAGTAGGCTCCTATTTTGTGTGAAGAGAACTGGCTTCCTCCCTCAGGGGTATGAGTGTATGATGGGCAACTGAGAAGTGGACCACTAAAACAGGGTTACGGGCCACCACAGCAGCTCCTAGATGAAAGTAGACAGCAAAGTTAGGTATGTTTTTTGTTTGTTTGTTTGTTGACATTGGTTTGGTTTGGTTTTGGTTGTGGTGTTTGTTTGTTTTCCCAGTTAATTGGTGAACTCTATTTTCACATGACAAAACTGAGTACTCAAAAAATGAAATATTCTCAGTGTTGTCTCAAGTAATAAAAGGGATTGACGTTTTCAGTTTTATGACAACATTAAAAAATCATATAATAATGTTAATCAGCTTGAAATTTTTAGAAAGAGGCAGTTTCTTCCCAACAATGCCTCAGATCTCTGATATTTTCCTTGCATCACACATTTTGTCGGTGTTGCTAAAACAGGACAAAACCAGAGGGCAGTAGGGTATGTTATTTTATATGGACACCATGTGTCATTTGTTTTACTGGCTGGAGATAAAGAGATTCTGTCATACTACTGGAGAGCCTTTGACCTACCAATGCAATGGAAGTATATACAGTGGTATAGACCAGAACAATGACTGTGACTCTCAAGCAAGCTAATTAAGACTTTACTCTGCACAGATGTGACTTTGTCTGACAAGTTTCTATTACTCCTGTGACAGATGCTTTGGATTTTGTGCCATTTAGCTGACAGAATCACAAACACTAAATATAAAACATCCCAGAGCTTAAAGTCTCTGAAGATGTTCAAAAAGGAAAAACTGACTTAATCTGGGGCTTTCTGCTTCTGGTCCCATGTGTTTCACCTCAGCAAAAGCAGAGCCAAGCGCAGGCCTGGCCTAGGCCACCAGGCTTTTTTTTCCCAGGGGGGCTATGGGACTACAGGCCGGAGGATGCCAGGGGTGGATTGTAACCTTCTTGTGAGCTGTGAGATCACTTCTGGCACAAAACTGAGGGCAGCCTGTGTCTTTTTAGAAACTCTGGTAGATGTCAAACACCAGCTAGAAGTTATGACCCATCCTCATAAAGATCCGGTAGGCCATGAGACGCCAAGCTCACACCTTCTGGTGTACTTTGCTGTAGGAGCCTATCTCAGCTCCAAGTCTCTGGATGCTAAACAAATATATAGCTGAATCTGTCTCTACAAAAATGTGTTTTCCTAGCAACTAGGGATTTTTAAGATAACTGTTCCATTTTCTCTGAAGTTATTTAGGTTTTTTGTCCTTCTCTAAGTGTCATTGCGTCCCTTAACTTTCTCATCTCCGTTCTTTCAATAATTTATATTTTGCCACCAGAAAAAGAAAAATTGAGACATCTAATGATATTTGATTAGAGTGAATGGTTATCCAAAAGTACAGAAAGGATGGTATTTATTGCTCCCCAAAACTGCTTCAATTAGATAATGGAAAATAAATCCTGAGTCAATAGGATCAGATATTCAAGGAGTGTGTTATCACAAAGAAGTATGAGGTAATCATGATTTGGGAGCTTTGACACCTCACCTGCAATTTGATCAGAGGGCCGGGCAGAGTTTGTGATCTGCTCTGAATAAACTCCATGAATATATGCTCTCTACACCCTACTTATTAGGAGCAAGCTATGGAGCACGGGACTGAATCACCACCACTGACTCAGCAGGAGAGCTGCAACCAGGAAGATTGTCTCCCGACCTGGGGAAATTCCCTCGTCTGATGTATTCCACACACATCTCAAGGGGCTCCTGAGTTTTCTGGACCAATATGATCATTTGTTTCAGTTTTGCTAGTGAAAAATGTGTGTATTTTCAGCATGAAGTGGAAAAATGTGTTGTACGTATTCTAGCGTGAGCTTTCAGTTTTAGGAAACGGTCGGTGATAATTTAATCGGCCACTGGGTGTCACCCTTTATCTGAGGAAAATAGCAAAATTTACGATGAAGAGATTGTACTTTAAGAAAATATTTCTCCACGCACATTTAAGAAATGAAGCTGCTACATCTGTCTCACCTTCCATCACAGAGTCTGATCCTATCACACAGAAACCTACTCAAAGATTCGAGATTGATTTTGTGTCCTTACAATGATTTTTAGCCATGAAAACACATTTAACGTATTCTCTATAGTTAAAATTCTGGTTTGACAAAACATGAACAAAGTCAATACATGATGTTGCTTTCATGTGTGCTTTCAGGCCTGTGATTGCAGTGACAGCAGTTCTTAAATTCTTTTTTATGAAAACAGATGTTAGTGTGACAATATTTCAAGAGTTTAACCAAATATTCATATCCTGTAAGTTTTGAAAACTCTCCAAGAAACAACTCTATGAACACGCTTTGCTTAATGAAACCTATGAAGGTTTATGTAGAACCTAATTTTCTACATTTGGTCAAATCAAAAAAAAAACCACAACTTTATGAATTCACTGAACAGAAACAAGAGCTTTAGGGAAGGGGGAAAAAAGTTCCAACAGAGAAGTGATGAGAAACTCCATTAAATGTTAAATTAAAGAAGAAAAGAACCCCAAAGTCTATTTTACATGGATACAGGGTACGCTACAGTGTGCAAATAACTAAAATTCTTGGTAAGGGTATGAAAGATTTGTGAGGTAGGAAGGACAGAGGATAAAGGGCACTCACAGGGTTAATAACTTGAAACAATATACTTAGCAAACCTGAGAAAACAAATAATTTCTTTCACTTTTACTTATAACTTCAGTTTCAGAACAGTCTAAAATACGAGGCAATCTTCACAGGCCCAGAATACCACACACATTATTTAGTATGTTTAAAAAAAAAAAAAAAAAACAGCTTGCTGACTGCATTATATTTATGGAGACCGGAAAGTCTGATTTGAGAAATCTTACTTCTTCTTTTCTCATTGTGTAGACAGGGCAATGTGTGCTCATTGCAAGATTTCCACTAATTATGAATGCTAGTCATATCCTTAGACTTTAAAGGTTTGGAGGGGAGAGGAAGAAGCCTGCTATTAGGGAGGAGAAGAGGTTTTCTTGTAGCATTCTCAGCTGCAAAGCTCAGAGGAGCCCTGGAGAGGTAGTGGCTATCAAGCCCCTCACCAACTTAATGCATCGGCCTATATTCCTGAATTATTCCTTAAGTGTCTGAGAGCTGTAGAGCATTTCAAACCTTAAATTATAGGCGTACTTTGGCCATAGCTATTATAAAGCAGACACTAAAGTTTAGGTAGACAACTGCTTAATAGCAGACAGCAGTGTTATTGAGGAAGCAAATATTCTACACCAAGAATGGTGTTGTACAGTCGGGGGAAACTTGCTAAGAAGGAAATGCAGCAACTCCAGCTGTGCCTTCTGGCTGCAGCTCCAGGCTGAACATCAGGGCTTTTGTGGAAAACACCCTGCAGCCAGCCATCACAGGCCGACTGACACATGAGCTCTGCCATTCGTTTCCAGTGCCTGTTCCCCTGGCTGCTAAGTGAGGTTTCCATGAAGCACAAGTGACCCAAAGGGCAGGGCGAAGCCTTGCTGACATGACCTCCTGCAGAGCCCTAAGCTCCCATGTGAACATCTCCCCTGCTTGTAAATAGCCTGCTTGTCAAGCACGCCACATCCACCGGCTCCCACCAAAGTTCTGGGTGGTTAGCAGCCTGTGTTAGGGATCACATCCTCCTACAGGCTTACTCACTTCATATGCCACTCACGGTTGCGGTCAGAAGGCTTCTCATTTCCATCAGGTGGTGTGTATAATTACACAGCTCCTCGCCACCAGTGACATGACACAAGGAAGTTTAATAACAGGTTTTTTTAAAAAAATGAGACATCTATTAGGTTATCAAACTAAATCCAAGTACAGCAAATAATTAGATGCCTCCTATCAACAAGTATCATTAGTTTAATTAGATTGATTTTAGCAGAGAGGTTATTTCCCAGTGAAGCACACGCTTTTTATCCTGAAAGGTGACTCTCAGTGCCTGGTGATGAAAGGGCAGGATAACAGAGTTCAGTGAAACTCTATAGATAAAAGGGGATTTACCTCAAAACATCAGCCTCCTGAGTTTAAATACTTAATAGATGACCTAATTCAGTGACAGCCCTGGTAATGCAACTCTTTCACAATGGTTATGCAAGCTCTGCTTCCTATTTTCAGTAAGAGGGGCTTTCCTGCAATATTATCACATGGCACACATTCTGAATACCTACGAAACCACACTGCGAAGTAGGTTACTTACTAGCTGATCAAGAGAGATAGTAATAAAATACATTTTATAATTTAACAGAAGAATTACAGTGGTGTAACTGAGATAATTTTTTTAATGAAATTGTAGTAGATTGAGACATCTGTTTTTTTTTTGTTTTTTTTTTTTAACCCTTACAGTTGAAAGAGTTCATTATAAGAGAATATATTACTGAAGTACTTATATATAGCTATACTTCTGAAAACAAGCAGCCCAATACGGCTTGATATGAGCACAGCAGAAACAGTAATATTATAACACAATAAAACCCATAAATTCAGATATTAGCTATTATTTTGAAAATAACCAATAGCAAATTTTATGAAATGATTTCTTGATGGGTAAATCTATGCAAGCGGCAATGTATGGTACAGCAAAGTAAGAAGGATATTAAACACGGATTAATGACTCCAACTTCCAGCTTTTACCCAGGGCAGTCTCTGTCTGTGATCAAGGGAAAGATTTCCCAGAAGTGAAAACAGGCTTGGAATAAGTTGCAGGGAGGTCTGAAGGTGTAGAAATACTGTACCTTTGGCATCTGTTATGCTAGTATACAGAAATGGACTTAAACAAGAGTTTTCTTCTTGTTTGTATTATTTAATTAAACCTAAGGAAGAAGACCCCTACCATCTTAATTCCAAAACGTCCCTGCCAGAACAAAGACTAAGTACATGACTTTACAATCCCAATGACATTGAACTTTTGTTGCTTTCAAATATGGCTAGAATCAATGGGAAACATCCAAAGCAAAGCCAACACAAGCTTGGAAAAAAAAAAGAAAAGTGAAATTACTAGGAAAAATCCTTTCTCATCCTCTAGTCGATGATGGGGAAATAAGAGAAAACTTCTGACTACTTTCACAATTAAAATAAGCAGTAGTAATTTCCATATGCTTCACAACTACATTTTGCTACAAACTCAAAATATTTTTTAAAAATATGGAACATTCATTAACACAACTTAATGCAGGACAGTCAAGTCACTTAATCAGAGGCTGAGTTATACTATCAGTAAAAGTAACATCATTTTCCTCCTCATTTCCTTCAAATGACATTGGCAGGTTAACGTTAATAGCTGCCCTCAGGTTAGCCCAGAAAAGGGCACGCTTGCTCCTCTCCTTTGGCCACTCCAGGTACGTTCTCTTTGCCATGAGAGCCTTCAGCTTGTGGTACCTCGCAGGGATAATATACTGAGGAATAGGCTCCAGCAAAATCAGGATCAAGCTGTTGCAGTTCTCACTGAACAACTTGTGATGGGCAAAGTAGAGCTCGTAGTGACACCACTCGCTCTGCACAAAGTTGGGAGACAACACAAAGATTGACTTGTAGCTCTTGTCTATGCAGTTAATGATATTCTCCACAATGCTCTTGCCGGGAACAAAGTTTCTCTCGTGCTGGCACAGCTGGACGCTGCCCTCCCCCTTCTCCAGGTTCGGGATCAGCTCGGTCTTCACCCACACGGAATCGCGCTCGCTGTAGGAAATGAAGGCGTGGAACTGCAGGACGGTTTCCCGCTCCTCGGGGCACTCGTGCCAAGCTCTGCGCTTCGTCTGCGTCCACTGCCACAGCATGCGCACGTACCACGGCACGTCCAGGTAGATGCACAGAAAGGCCACCACCCCCACCAGCACCAGCGTCAGCAGCAGAGCTGTCACAAGCAACAGGGTCGTGTTGCAAGCGAGCTCCGTCAAGTGGAAGTCCTTCAGCTGCGTTCCCTTCAGGTCCTCGGGGTACTCGCACACGTATGCCTCCGGCCAGCCGGACAGCTTCCCCCCAGACTGCCTCTCCAGACGCACGAAGGCCTGCAGTTCACAGGAGCACTTGAACGGGTTGTGCCCGGCTTCCAGCTCCCGCACCCTCTGGCAGCTCTCAAAGAAGTCGGCGGAAGGGGTGAGGATCGAGTTCATCTCCATATTCAGGATCTCCAGGGCCGAGAAGCCACCGCACCCCGGCAGGTCGGCCAGCCTGTTCGACGCCAGGTTCAGCTCTTTCAAGGACTTCAGCTCAGCAATCCCCTGGGGGACGCTGCTGATCTGGTTGTTGTGTAGGTCCAGTTTGTTGACATTGACCGGCAAGCACCCGAACACGGACTCTGTCAGCTGGTTTGAGGACAGGTCCAGCTCCTTCAGAGACTCAGTCCATTGGCAGTGCTCCTCGGCTCCATCGGTATGCAGCAAGTTGCTGCTCATGTCCAGATACCTCAGTGATTTCATGTACCTGGTCATGGAGCTCACCTTGGAAAGGCTCTCAAATTTATTCCTCCTCAAAATAAATAACTTCAACTCTGCCAGAGTACTACAATTCTGGAACAATTCATCTGTCAGGGCATTGCGAGAAAAATTTAAATATTGAAATAAGCTTGCTCTCTGCGGACAAAGCATGTGTGGCATGTATGCATCATATATTGTCAAACTGGCAATATTCATCTCTGAAAACCACCTGTATAGAATCTTCTGGTTGAAATAATAAACCTTATTACGAACACGCTCCAAAGTTAACGCTTTCATGGAGACACCCAAAGACATTACTTGTTCCAGAGAGCTTAAGAAGGGTACAAATTTATATGCAGTCAACCCTCCTATTGGTCCCCGAAAAATCAAATTTCTCACAGTCAGATGCTCCACAGGTGAATACCAAATAAGCAGGAAAATTTGCAAAATGATAGGCCATTCTAAATCCACAGTGTCAAGCATCAGAGCCGTTGTCTTGATTTTCTTCAGAAGCGTTAAAGCAGGAGAGGGGAAATCTTTGTAGCTCAAGGTATATCTTACATTAACTATTTTTAAGTTTTCTGAAGTGCTCATCCCATCATACAAGAGGGAAAAATTGAAGTTTTGGTTTGCTGAAAAAACAATGTGAAGGCTCTTTGTATTTAAGGCTGTTAGACTTTGAGGCTTGTACAGAGAAAAGTTTTCCAAGGTAAGGAAGACAGTGTTCAGCTGTAAATGTGTGATGTATCTGAAGTCTGACCTTCGTATCATTGTGGCACTTAATCCTAGATATTCCAAATGAAACATGGTCCCAAATTCCTGACAGATGGGCAAGACAGTAAAATTATTGAAAGAAAGATCTAAATGTCTAAGACATGCAAGCGTTTGACAATAAACTTTCCAAATGTTATTATGAGATAGATCTAAGTATTCTAAATCTTGATTAAAAATGAAGACATTAAAGTCAAGCTCTGTAATTAGATTATGAGAAAGATTTAATACCTGAAGGTCAGAAAGAGAAATAAATTCAGAGATACTAAGTTCAGAGATCCTATTATGTGATAAATCTAATACACGAGTATGGAGTGGAATGGTTTTTGGAACATCAGTTAGCAAAAGGCTTGAATAGTTTGCAATGAATTCGTTTTCCACAGTTGGCTGGACATTATTCCAAAGTGTGAGTGTAAAGACACAAGCAAAGATATAGATACTTGTAAGGGATCCCATTATGCCTTCTAGAATTATCTTGGTTCTTTAGAGAAACTCAGAAGCATATCTTAGTTTTTTGTTCAATATGTCTCAGTGAGAAGTCCAGCCCTGTGAAAAGAAAACACATGGAATTTTCTGAGTTTGATGAATTGTTGAATTTGTTGTTTATTATTAAAATAAAGTTCAATACAAAAAATATGTAATAAATATATTTTTTTTACTTACTTTCTCTAAGTTATTACCAATCCCCGCCCAAAATTCCAGTTATTGATTTTGTCAGTTATGTAGAAAATAATAATAATTTGTATATAATGGGAAGAATACAATAAGAGGCATGTTTTAAAAAAATGCAAAGATGTTAAGGAATTCAAATTTCTCAATCATCTTAAAAAAATTGACACAGACATCAATGCATTTAGGAGTAAAATAGAACACAACCAACCTCCCATCTGCTTTTTCCCTACATCCCATGTCCAGACACATCTGGTGACAGAACTCCAAAAGGCCCATGGACCCTCACAGGAACCGGTGCAAAAGAAACCTTTTCCCTCAAGAGCTAAAGGATATTCTTTACACCATAATGACATAGGATATGGCCATGCAACCCCTCCAAGTTTGCAGATCAAGGAAGTACAAAGACATAGGTGTCCATTTTTCAAGTAAGACAAGGAGCTTGAGGACCAATTTTACTGTCTCGTTACTATTGTAATGCCAGTATGTACAAAAGCATGCTAACAGGAAAACCACAGCATAACTGGAGAATCCATATGAAGTAGCAGTACTCAAAAGTTGAAAGAAAATACTTAACACTTCAAAGACTCCAAGATATTCTAAGTGTCCTAAGACATTTCCTACATTTTCCAAAGTATTCCATAGTTGCCAACTTGACAAAGAACCTCCCCAGAAATGGTGAGGAATGAGGAATCCAGTTCCAGAGATCAAAAAACAGAATGACTAAATGTTTGAGCCTATCAACAGCCTACTTAGACTCAGAACAGCACCTGCTCTACCATGAAAAACCATGCTTTGGGCAGTACTATTGTGTTATCTAGACAAGACAACATAGACACCACAGACAGGCAGCCGGATGTATGAATGACTCACCAATTCTTTTAGAAGACAAAGAGCCCCATTTTTTTTCCTCTGCTGATTGTGTGGTTGGGGTATTTGGAAAGGGGAGGAGGGGGTGGGATTCTTCCTCTGTGTAATCTTTTGGTAATAAAAAATAAAAGCCTATTTTCTGTCAGTTCTGGGTGATAATACATGTTAGTCCCTAGTGATTTGATTGCCTGATATCAAAACTCTTTCCTTTCCCTTCTAAATCTTCTACCAAGCTTAATCAATTTTTTTTTTCCAAATAAATAAAGCAAAAATATGTGTAATTAACATATAGAGCAATATAAGAATGAATCTTATATGCTTATATTAGCATATAAGAGCAATAAAAGAATGAATAATTAAAGTATAAAATTTCTGAAGAATCAAACTGAGAAGTCAAATTCTATCTTTCAGAAAGTTGTACTAGGCAATCCAAGCACAGAACAGATCCTAAATGAAGCTGAGATGGTTGGTCAAAGTACAGTATCACTCGCAAGAAGAACCAAGATTACTTTAAAGAGTAGCTGACCCTGTTCTTCAGACATTATTCCAAGAAAAACCTCTTGAATCAAATAAAATTTGGGGAGATGGGAAGTCAGGAACAAAGCAAGACTTTTTTTCCTGAAGGAACAAAAAAATAAAATAATAATAATAAAAATACATTCTCTGGTCCATATATAGTTTACTATATACACCATGCTGTACAGTGCAAGGGACAATCCACCCTGTAGAGCAGTGAAGTGTGCCAAACTCAAAGAATAGAGTAGATCTATACAGTGAAGCAATATTAAGGATCAGCAGTAACCCATCCAACACTATTGTATGACAGTATTAAATTAGAGTTGGTTGAGTATGAAAATTGCCTTTTTTTTTTTTTCCTTTCTTCTGTGTTGAAATTCAACATACAAATGAGCATTTCCACTGAAATTTCAAAATGCAATAATATCTTCCCCTGGTGAAGAAAGACAACACCTGAGATCTGATGGACTCCAAAACACCCATAATAAAAAATTTTAAATGTAAATAAAGTAAAATAAAGTAGGAAATATTACCCACCTTTTGAGCATTGAATTCATCTCCAAGTGAAGATCCAGCATAAGGCTTCGGCATACTCAGTTAACAACCTCAAGACAGATTTTCAAGCACATGTAATCTTCAAGCTGGAGAATCTTATACAGGATGTTAATTCCTTAACTACTGTGCCAGCAAGTAGAAAGAACAGTTTTTCATCTGTAAGCTACATAATTCCAATAAAGAAAAACATTTCCCTGCAATGCAGGTATTAACAGTACAATGAAAGGAAAATTTTAGCAGTTCAAACTCAAAGTACATTTACTTCTGCAATATTTACCTAACTGTATGGTTTAGGAAGAAACAAACCTATCCGCAGTACAAGATGTTCCCCAAAAGCAAGAATATTTGAATAATTCTGCATTTCTAATTTCACGTCTGTATCTGATGGTTACACAGATGTTCTGGAAGTTCATCAACTGCATCTCCTCTTTTGCACGCACAGAAAACAGGAAGCAGAACTTTCACAGCCAACTTCTCTTTGTATCAAAATCTCTTGCAGAGATCTACCCTCCTGAGTTAGTTTACCCAACAAGCAGATTAGTTGATGTAGCACATTAACAGACTCCAAATCTAGTAATGGGGCAAACTGATGCAATTCAAAACATTTACAGGTCCGTCATCTTTACATTAGATATGGCTTGGATGGTTAAATCAGGGAAAACTCACATTGTACTTTAATTCAGAAAACTGGAAAAAAATAATAATCTAGAGATAGTATTTTCTATATGAAAGCTGCAGAGCAGCCATGAAGACTAAAGCCATAGAGGGCAATCTGGGAATGAAGGAATCCAATAAAGCAGTCATTCAATTAAAGTTTTGAGCAGGAGCACGAGCCTAGTGAACAAATCAACAGAGCAGAGAGTCAGTGCACTTCAGAGGCACATGTAAATAACCAAAACTAACATCTCATTCCCATGAGCCTCCAAACTAACACAACATGCTTCAGTAAGATTAATCAGAAAGGAAGAAAGACGCCAAGATAAATAAATGAACAAAGGTTCGTTTTGTCTTAATAAATTTTAAGATGAAATTCATGACGTATGTAATGAATCCCTTGGGTATGAGCAAACTGGGGCATCTTGGATGACTCTGGACTCCATCAAAAGCTTACTCCCCACCACGAAACAGCACCTTGGAGGAGACTTGAAGGCAAGAATGTATTCAGCTACAGAAAGAGGAGAAGTATGACAATTTATGTCAGTATGAAGTATGACAACTAGTTCTGCCAGGTATATCTGAACCTTGCATTAGATTCCTTTAAAATTTTTCTTTTGCCTTTCCAATTTTGCAAAGAAGAATGTAATCTTTTTGCTTTGCTGGAAGATTTCTGGCTTTCAATTTGAGATTGATGAGTAAGATAGTCTTGCTAAAACCTGCTGACAGCAAACCATTCTGCTTTCCTCAATGCAGTGATCTGAGTAACTCATTACAGATTGAGACACCTGTGACCATAGACAAGGCTGGGGATCATGAATGATTCTGTCTGATTGTCAGCTGATATTGTTTTTTCTTCATGTTAAAGGAGAGGTTCCCACTGGAGAACATTAATCTATCAAAATGAATAGTCTAAGGCACTTGTTGACACAACAATGACAGTTTTCTTTCCAGTATAACTGTGGAAAAATCTTTGCTGTGTTGACAAAATCAAATATACCATCAGCTTTCTTCAGAACTGACTCCAGCGCACACAGGGTTGTCAAACGGAAAAGTACCCACACCTTTATTTATAATATGTTTAATTTCCCTACCACTCTTCTTTAGTAGACTTTAAAGTACATTCAAAATGCAGTTTTGTACTGCGTAAAATACAATTTTGTACAATTGTACCATAAAAAAAATTTGGAACTAGTGAAAATAAAACTGACACTCCTAAATACCTTTGTTAATTCATTAGGGACATTGCACAATGTTATTTTTACCAACACATTCAGCAAAGGTTTGTTTGAGGGAGGTTTCAGTTTACTGATTAAGCCATTTTGCATGATAGCAAAAACTAAAAAGCAGTGTGTACCTGTTCACACATCCTGAATGTAGCAGGTAAAGACCATCCTTTCTGTCCTGAACATATCTATACTCATGCAGATACCTTGTTCCATTTGTTAAGATTATACTGCTGTATTTTGGGGTGGTTCGTTTTTGGCTTTGGTGAAGTTTTTTCTTTTTTTCTTTTTTCCTTTTTTTTTTTTTTTTTGTTGGTTGGTTTTTGTAGCTTATTCTACCAATGAGCACTTACTTTCACAAACAGACCTTCCTCCATGTATATCTCACACATCTGCCTCTATATTGTGTTTACTTACCTAGGGAGGAACTGCAACTACACTCAGCTGAATATCAGAAGCTATTTAGGACCAGTGCCGTCCTGAAGGATCAAAGGATTTCCCCAATAGGAACTGATAAAGGGAACTTACATTGCAAAACATTGAGTTAAAACAGCCAGAGCAGTTAGACTCATCCAAGCACTTACAAAAAATTAACAGTTACCAGAAGTTGCAAGAGGCTAGGTCAGTGTTTGGTCATACAGAGGACCTCAACTTCAATGGCAGTTCTTTCATAGTCACAGCTTACTCCCATGGGTCAAGTAGGCAAAATGAATGCTAAATGCCACCACAAGTTAAACTGAGCAGAGATTTACCACATTTAATGCCTAAGTCTATTTTGCTTGGGCAAAGACAGACACCAGGATTGAAGCATGGAAATCAAACACAGCTCTCAGCAGGGCAAGCCTCGTGTGCGTTGTGACTTCCATTCTGTCATAGTTTGGTTTCCTTTATGCTACACACTACATAAATACATATATGTATATATATGCATGTGCTTTTCACTGCATTTTGCACATTTTCTAGGTTTTGGAGGGTGGTTAACACCCACATTATCAGTTTTGTATGTTGATATTGTTCTGCATGTGAAATAGCATTCCTGCTAGTCATTGAGATGACTAGTCAAACGCCAGGAATATGCTGATATGGTATCTGACATCAGAATATATTTACATACACCCTTTTTTGACGTGTGGGAGCTACCTTCCAGAATGTGCACGCACAGCTGCCAGAAAAAAGTCTGACAAGGGATGTGAGACTAACACATGGCCCCACATATGGGAAAAAATCCTCCTTGGACTAAAACTGGTTTTATATAAAGTGTTCGGAGTATGACAGAGGCTAAACTAATTATTTCAAATATCCTGATATATCTCTTGAGAAATCTCTGCTGGGGAATCTGAGAAACTGGATGCAGTAATTCACAGCACATGTAGCTGTTTGGTCAATTATTTGGCACATAATGTAAATGTAGATAATCCTTCTGACTTGTATCAGAAACAGTGTGACCAGCAGGGCTAGGGAGGTGATCGTCTCCCTGTACTCGGCTCTGGTGAGGCCGCACCTCGAGTACTGTGTTCAGTTTTGGGCCCCTCGCTACAAGAAGGACATCGAGGTGCTTGAGCGGGTCCAGAGAAGGGCGACAAAGCTGGTGAGGGGCCTGGAGAACAAGTCCTACGAGGAGTGGCTGAGGGAGCTGGGCTTGTTCAGCCTGGAGAAGAGGAGGCTCAGGGGTGACCTTATCGCTCTCTACAGATACCTTAAAGGAGGCTGTAGTGAGGTGGGGGTTGGCCTGTTCTCCCACGTGCCTGGTGACAGGACGAGGGGGAATGGGCTTAAGTTGCGCCAGGGGAGTTTTAGGTTAGATGTTAGGAAGAGCTTCTTTACTGAAAGGGTTGTTAGGCACTGGAACAGGCTGCCCAGGGAAGTGGTGGAGTCACCATCCCTGGAAGTCTTCAAAAGACGTTTAGATGTAGAGCTTAGGGATATGGTTTAGTGGGGACTGTTAGTGTTAGGTCAGAGGTTGGACTCGATGATCCTGAGGTCTCTTCCAACCTAGAAATTCTGTGATTCTGTGATTCTGTGTGACTTTGTGAATAGAGGCCTGACAATTTGTCACAAGATTTGACAAATCTCCATCGTTACGCAGCAAGTTGCTGCTCATGTCCAGATACCTCAGTGATTTCATGTACCTGGTCATGGAGCTCACCTTGGAAAGGCTCTCAAATTTATTCTTCTGTAAGATAAATATCTCCAGTTGAATTAATGTGTCACAGTTTTGAAAAAGCAGATCGGTTAAATCATTGTTTATAAAATTTAGGTATCTAAAGGGACTGTTAGATGAAGGACATAGCATATGTATCATCTCGGATCCTGCTACTGTCAAGGCTTCAATGTTCATGTCTGCAAGTATCCGGTACAGGTCATCCTGTGAAAAGTACAGATCTGTGACTAAAATGTTCTTCAGTGCCAGTGCTTTCATGGAAGTACCCGAATACCTGAAGTTATATTTTTCAATGTTCGACAATTGCGTAAAATTGTTGATATTGAAATATTCAATGGATGATTGCCATATAGTCTGAAGAAGTTCAAGAAAAATATTCCAGTCCACTGACACATTCGTCAGTGTCAGATTTTGAAGCCTGGAGCCTTTTCTGAAATCAGACAACAAAGTTATTATTTTTTTTACATTGCTATTAGTGATTTGTGACAATGACAGGCTTTCTGTAGTGTTTTCTATTACAACCCAATTGTAATCAGCTTTGGACCGCTGATGATGTTTATGCAACAGTGGAAGGCTCATGATGTTTCTCTCAGAACCACCTTCTGGAAAATTATTAGAAACAGGTGTAAAGAGTTCATCTTCCACAGACAGGCTGATATTGTTCCAAACAGTTAAAACAAAGAGACACTCATAAACAAAAAAGTTCTGGAGATCTCTCATTTTCTTTGCCGTACTGGTTTATGGTTCCTTGCCAATGCTCAATATTTATCCATCCGTCTTTGTTCTTATCCTGTAACAACAACAAGAAAAACATATCGTATCATTAAGCGTCTATCCAACAGCCATCAAAGACCAACTTTTTTAAGGTTCATACTTTCTGCCTCTCCCTTTGACTCGGAAAGGCAATTATTATAAGCCTATTATCATTCACGAGAGGAGTTCCTGAACTGTTTACTTAATTTTATTATTTAAATAAGTGTAATAAATGTTATTAAATAATTTTATTATTTAATTAAGACATTCCTTCATTATTTAATTATTATTTGATGGTGTATTTTCATGCTTTATGATAGGATAAGCAGGCAAAAACCCAGGAACCATATCTCTCTCCTGTTCCACAGCAGTGTTTTGATTGGGTTAAATAGCGGACACGATGAGAACACTGGGTAAGGTGATATTTATTTTTATTTTATTTTTGAGTTAAAACAGAACAGCACCTTCAGTATTGAATGCCAAACACTGGGGTTATTGTCCTAGCAAAGACATAAACCAGTCTCTCTTTATTTCTGTACGACACTGGTCAGAAAGTCCATCTTAGCTGAGGTCTGAATATGGAACTAACTCCAATGGAACTAATCTATTGTTCTGGTTTAGCATACTATTGTGCTATATGGAGTAATAATTCGTGTCAAGAAAATGGTCGATATTAATAAAGAAGGGGGAGATGTGGGAGTGTGGCCATGGGGGTCAGCAAGCCCCAAGGTTGATGGTAACATCAGACTCTTCACGATGAGGCCATCAGGAATGTAAAAGAGCTTAGAGGGAACAAAGAAGGGTGATTCAGGAGATGCCATGCAGTCTTGGGTTCCTTCTTCTCCTCCAGCCGTTAAGGCATGGAAGTTTCTGGGTGTTTGCTGTTGCTGTTATATGCAAAGTTGTTTGACCAATGAAAAGTTGTTTTTGAAAAGGACTGCTGTGGGGAGAAGGGTAGAAGAGGGGAGTCTGTCCTCAAAATGAAAAAAAAAGGCAGCACGATATAATGAAGTTATGGCATCAATAAAGAAGTAGAAAGAAGTAATGAAAAGGAACAGGCTAGCAGAACGGAGACCAGGACGGGAACAGGGACATTGACCGCCCCATGAAGATAGCTTCAGCCAAAGTCAGCAAACCGCTCAGAGAAGCTCGCACAGAAAGTCGCTGGAAATGGCACACCGGAGCTGGAGAGAAGCTCAAGCTGAGAGAAGCAGCCCCGCGCACACAGCTGCCCCTCGCTGGTAAGCAGCTGCACTTTGTGGGGAATCATACATGTACGTCCTTAGGAACAAAGACTGTCCTGGTAACCTTGCAACTTATTCTCCTTATTGACAATCGGACAGTTTATGAGCCTGAAATATGGGACCAAATTGAGGTCAAGGTGTGGGACTCTGCTACTAAAAACGACAAGGTTGCGGTGGGATTGCTCAGCACCTGGCGAGCAATCTCTGAGGCCTTAAAGAGCCCTGTGGGACCACAGTCAGAAACGTGTGGTTTGCCAGATAGTGAGGGAGCTGCGGGCTCCTTTACTGATCCTTCTGCTACGCCATGGGCCCCTCTGCTGCTACAGCCATCCAAGGCTTTTGCTGTTCTGCCCCTGCTGACCTGGACGTGCCTTTTGACCCAGGCCTATTGGCCTTGAAAAGGAAATGGATACGCTTTTCTTCGATCTGGGAAGAACGACGGGATACAGAAGGCCTGAAGACCGAGTTGCTTGACAACTTAAAGCGAGACATATTGGTCAAAAGGAATGGAAAATGGAGACTTGTATGTAATCAAGGAAAGGAATGGAAAATGGAGACAGTTAAGGCATGGAACTTCAAGGATTCTTTGTTACCTTTTCTGCTCGTGATTATGTATAGGCGTACTCGATTTTAGTAAGTTATGGAACTTAGAGGATTGTTTGTTACCTTTCCTGATTGTGCATATGTACAGGAATACTCGGGTTTAGTATGTAAAGCAACGTGCTGTATATTTAGAAAATTGATGTTTGTGTGTGCGTGTTGGTGGAGCGTAGACTCCCCGCACACCCAGCGCTGTTTACTTTATACCTTTTAGAAATATTTGTTTTATAAATATTACAAAATTCAGATTGAGTTGAGACCTCATTTATAACACTTTGGAGACTCAGGAGTTGGCCTCAGCGATCCTCGTGGGTCCCTTCCAGCTCAGGACATTCTGTGGTTCTATGACCCCAGTGGAGAAGTGGTGAAAGGCGACAACCAGACCAAGATACGGTAGGTTTGCCAGGATGGATTTCAGTGCCGAAGTTTCCTCCTCAAGTCTACTTCAGCCATGAGCTAGGGACGGCCCTCTGTGTGGTAACAGGCCCTGGTGCTGAGGTCACAGTGTATCCCTCCTACATCCCTCTGCCGTGCGTGCCAGCTGTGGCCCAGTTGCTTGTGGGGCCGGTAGGAGGAGGACCCAGAGAGAGCGTTGTGTCTATCTGGGGACATCCTGCTGCGATGGAGAGGCTGAGAGCCCTTAGCGGTGAGGGGCAGCGGGAGGGAGGTTGGGGGCTGAAGCAGGACCCTTCCCAGCAGGCTGCTCGGGGCTGCGTCTCCTGCGGAGATTTCTCTCCCAGCTGGCCAAGATCCTCGTCCCTACCAGCTCCAGCCCCCTGCGGCCAGCAGCACCGATGACACCTGCTCCGTTCTTTCCTTCCTTCCAGGTGTGGGCTGCTGGCCCAGACGTAGCCGTCGCCAGGGCAGAAGGCAGGGTGCCAGGGCCTGTCCCTGAAGCGGCCCCGACCTCTGCCAGTGTTGTGACTTCTCTGCTAGCGCGCCTGCAAGACGAGGAGGTGAGCTGGGGGCTCCCCACCATGATGCAGCGGGGGGAGCAGGGGGAGCCTGTGCCTGGCAGCACCTCTGCCCTCCTGGTTTTGTCATCCAGAAGCTCCAGCACAGGGCAGTGCCCAGCCTGGAGCTTCTCAAGGAGCAGTCATTTGCCCGGGCCCCATCCCAAGGTCCCCTGGCTGCCCAAGCCCAGAGGCCAGGGGCTTTGTGTCCCTCTTGCAGCTTCCCAGCCCCAGCAGCACATCCCTAGGCTCTGCAGAGCGAGGGCGGGCAGCTGGCGGCGTGCTGGCAAGAGGAGCAAAGCAAGTGCAACTGATCCCTATGGTGCTCTGTCCCCAGGGCGACAGAGCGCAGACTTACTGCGAGCTGGAGACCGTCTTGTGGGAGATGACAGCTGCCTGCAGTGCGGTGTCGTCAACCGGCTTCTAAGCAGAGGTGTCCTGGGACCTGACAGCTGACCAGGTGAGATGGTGCTCTTGGAAGGCAAGGGGAGCAGCCTGCCAGGCATTGGAGGGCAATGCGGAGCACACAGGCAGGTTTTGCTGGCCTTGGGGCCCCACAGAGGCTCTTGAGCCAACCTGAGCCTCTGTTTCAGGGCGTGACGGAAGACACGAAGGTGGCTGCCAGTGACGTCCTGGTGGCTCTGGCCCGCTCCCACTTCAGCTTCGTGCTAGCCGAGCTCCTGGCCCAGCTGAATGCCCCAGGGCAGATCTCCAAGGAGTTCGTGCTCATCACTGTGGGCAAACTCCTCAGCACCAACGGTACGGTCCAGCACCGCCATCCTCCCTCCCTCCCTCCTTCCCTCCCTCCCCTCCCGCTTTGGGCCAGGCTGGGAGAGCTGGGATAGAAAGGGATCCTTCCCCTCTCCACGCAAGCCGTGCTGAGCTGGGGGGCACCGTGGCTGCAGCGCCTCCTCCCTCGCTGCCAGTGCCGGCTGGGGGCTCTGACCGTGGCCACTCTCCCGTTCTCTTCGCAGCCCTGCAGTGCATCCCCTTCATGCGCGTGGTGCTGTTGGGGCTGCGCACCGTGGTGGGCCAGTTAGGGAGCGGCCGGATCCTGCGTGTTGCCTGCGGTGGTGAGTGGACCCTGGGGAGGGGCAGGGGCAGGGGCAGGGCAGGGGCAGGGGCAGGGGCAGGGCAGCCCCTGGCACCTCGCTCTGGCTCTCAGAGCGGGCATGGCGGGCCTGAGCCCACGCTGCTGCCAGCCCTGGGCCATCCCAAAGCGTTGGGGGCGCCTGGAAAGGGTGGCTGAAGGTTTCTGTGGGCTGGAGGTGAAGGTGCCCGGGAACTCCTGGGTCCCTTTGCTGCCTTCCTGGGCTTTCCTACCGGGTGAATGTGCCCTGATGGGCAAAAATGGGGCTTCCAGCAGGCTGGCGGGGGGTGCCGCTCCCTTCCCTGCTCCAGGCTCCTTTTTCTCTTCTCTTGCTGCAGCTCTGGAGCAGTGGGCCAAAGTGGTCAACGTTTACATCTGCACCTGGAAAGGATGCTCCTTGCCTGCTACGGAGAAGGAGCAGCTCTACGAAAACCTTGCCCAGGTGTTGTGCTCTGTGCCAAGCACCTTGCTGGACTGCCAGGAGGAAGAGGTGAGAAGTGCTGCTTTCCCAGCTGGGGACGGCAGCAGGGATGTCCCCTGTGCCTGTGCCTCTGTCTGTGCCCAGCGGGCTGGCTGCAAAAGGCCCCAGACTGGCTCTGTGCCTGGGGCTTGGGGCTCCCTGCGGGGAAGCAGCTGAAGCCCAGGGCATTTGGGCAGGCAGGGCGGGGGGTGAGGGGTGGGGAAAACCTCTCTGCCCTCCAGAGCAAGCCCATCTCCTGCAGGGCAGAAGGGAAAGGGCAAGGGGAAGGCCTCTCTGTGGGCAGGGCAGACCTTCAGCCTTTGACGCTGGGCCTCCCCGCTTCCTCTCCAGGACAAGCAAGCTGTCATCGGGGCCGTGACTCCCTTGATGCGTGTCCTCCTGCACAAGGAGGAGCACCGGGAGCATGTCTGGGAGCAGCTCCTCTGGCTCCTGCACCAGTACCGGACGGTGCCAAGACGCCTCCAGGGTGACCAAGGTGAGGTGTGGCGCAGGGCCTGGCACGGCCGTGGGGTCTGTGCAAGTGGCACGAGGGCTCAGGGGCTGTTTGCACGGGGAGCTCTGTGTCTGTGCACAGTTGCTCCATTTGCAAGTGGCTTGACATGGCTTCGGCCCTTTCTTCCTCTCCCGTTCTCTTGCAGAGCCTCCTTTCTTTCCTGGAGGCCCTGGAGCAAGTTCAGATCCCCGTCCCCAAGGGCAAGTGTCTTGCCATTAACAGCGTCGTGTACAGCGAGGTAAGGGGAGCCTGCACCCACACAGCCACAGCAATTCCCTCTTGGCTGAGTCTCGGGAGGACTCCAGAGCCCTGAGTCTTTGAATGCTGCTCAGCCTTGGCTCCTGGGTGGCTCCTGGGTGCTCCAGACCTGTGCGTGGGTCCCTGGGGATGCTGTGGGGTGGGCTGGGTTTTGGCTGGGGGTCCTCTTGCCACCAGTGCCCAGGGAGATGAGAGCTGGCAGCGCCGTTTCTTTTCGGGCCCTCTCAATGCTGCTGGACTTTCTCCACCATGTTCCCACCTTGTTCCCACAGCTCACTGCCGACACCAAAGAGCACAGCCAGGACCAGAAGGCAGAGCTGAGCCAGTGCATCCTGCTGCAAGGTAAGGAGAGGAGCTGTGGCGATGCCCCGTGGGGTCCCGGCAGCTCTCTCCCAAAGCTCAGCAATGGGGGTAAGCTGCTTGCTAATGCAGGATGGGATTTCCTCCCCACAGCTCGCATCTGCCCAGAGGAGACGATCCTGTTCCTGGAGTCCCAGCTGGGCCACGAGAGGGAGGCCGTGCGCGTGGCAGCCCTGGGTCTGCTCGGTGCTCTGGCACGCTGTGACGGTCAGTACTGCGGGGTCAGGGCTTGGAGGGCTCTCTTCCGCCCTCTGGGCTGTGCCTCCACGCATGCCTCACTGGATCTCTTGCAGAGCCCGCGATGGCAGAGAAGCTGCCCCAGGTGGTGGAGGCTGTCAAGCGTGTGTGCAGGGACCCCAGCATGCGGGTGAGCTGCTTTGGGAAGGGACTGTGCCGTCGGGGTCGGGGTCGGGGTTGGGGTCGGGGTCGGGGTCGGGGTTGGGGTGGGAGAGCAACCTTTTCCCTCAGGGCAGAGGCAGAGCCTGGCAAGGCTGGACTAGAAGGGCTCGGACCCAGGCAGCCATTTCCCCGCTCCTTCGTGTTTACCGGAGGGAGGGCTGACAGCCAGAGGTGATGCCGCTGCCAGCATGGGCAGGTCCCCGTGGCCCTGTGCTAAGCACACTTGACCCCTGGCAGGTGAGGAGGGCAGTTCTGCACTTCATCAGGGAGCTGCTCAGTGCCAATGCCCAGAGCTGCTCAGCGTGGGACGTTGTGGGCTACATCTTCAGCGAGTTCAGCCGGAGCTCGAGCAGAAGGGTAAGGCCAGCGTGCAACATCTTCCCTGGGGAGATCTGCTGCCAGGAGGCTGGCATGGGAGCCTGCTGGGGCCACGCCTGAGCCTTCTGGGGCAGGAACTGAGAGCAAGCGGGGCGGGGGGTTCCCAATGGTGTCTTGCAGGCTGCGGGACTCCTGTCTGCCCAGGAAGCCCAGGAAGAAGGAGCTCTCCAAGGGCTGTGCATGGACGTCCTGGGGTCGCTGGACATCTCTGTGAGAGGGATGGCCAAAGTAAGTCCTCCTCTGTCCTGCTGCTGCTGCTGCTGCTCCTCTCCTCTCCTCTCCGTCAGGCCATTTGTTCCTAGCCCCCTTTGCACACCTGAAGGCTCCCCCCCAGCATGCTCTCAAGTGCTCAGGGAGATGCACACCATCCTCCCCATCTCTGAGCTGAGGCAGAAATGCTGACGGGCTGAATTGTCTCATTGCCTACAGCTCCTGTGGCCGAGGCTGCTGATCTATGTGATGCCAGCCAAGTACACGGGCATGCTGATCCCCCTCTCGCGCTGTCTCCGCGCCCTGGCTGAGAGCAATGAGCTGACAGCAGGGCACGAGCATCACGAACTGGATCCCGATGTCCTCAACGCCCTGTTGCAAGGTAGGAGTAGCAACTCCCCCAATGCTGACCTCTGGGTCTGCGCCCTGCAGGGACGGCAGCGTGGCAGGGCACGGTGTGGCTCGGCATCTCACCCAGCATTTCTTTCTCCCCGCAGACACGACGCTGACTCCGCACAACTTGCTGGCTCGCCTGCTGGTGGTGGCGGGGTCTCCTTTTGCGGGCAGTGACCTCCAAGCTGCTGCCTTGCTGGTGCTGCAGAGCCTCCACAGCAGGATCCACGGAGCTGTGGGGGCCACGTGGAACAGCGAGATTCCCCTGCTGCTGCAGTACCTCCAAGGTAAAGTGCTGCTGGGGAGGGGGAAAGGGAGGGAGGGCATGGCAAGTCAGCTTCCCAGCATGGCTAAGGGGAATCCCCGCCTGGTGCCCAGTGCTTGTTCTGCTGCCGTTTCGTTTCCCTGCCGGGGAGCCAGCACTGAAGCTGGGGGGAGCGGTCCCACAGCCATCCATTCGTCCCGGCCCTGGTGGCACCTCCATGGCCCTGCTGGGGCGGTGCTTGTGGGGAGGGACGGACGGCTGCCTCTGGAGCGGGTGCAGCCACCAGCTTCCCTGGGCCAGGCCAGCTTTGCAGCAGCTCTTCTGTTGTGGCTTGGTCCCAAGCAAGGTTTTTGTCTTCTTTCTAGGAGGAAAGGGGAACATCCCAGACGCTGCCGAGTGGGAGCGCCGTCTGCTTCAGGTACTGCAGCCCTGGGAGGCGTAGCATATAGATAGAGGTGGCATTCCCCAGCTGGCAGGGGTGTTTCCCAGGCACCCCACTCCTCCTCCTAGAGGAGTCTCTCCCTTCTCCCACGGGCCACAGCTCTCGTGGAAGGCCACTCTGGCGTGGCCGTGTGCCTTGGCACTGCCTCTTCCTGCTTGTCAAAGGCCAAGAAGCATTCGCTTCCTCTCCTGTTCTCTCCTGCAGTTCCTGAGGGCATCCCTGGAAACCATCGGGGACGACGCCTGGATCAAGCGCCTGAGCTGTGCGCTGAGCCAGCGGCTGGACAGCTCTCCCAGCAGCTCTGGGGAGAAGGTCGGTTCCCTGCTCGGCTCTCCCCTGGCAGCGCAGCCACGGGGCCCCCGCCCACGTGCGGGGCTGGGGCTGGGGCTGCAGGCGCTGCTCTGCCCACGAGGGCTGTCTGCGCTGCTTCCCCGGCCCTTGCCCCCCGCGGCCTTTCCCTCCGTGCTGAGCGGGGCTGGCGAAAGCCCATCCCTGCGTCCGGGCTCGGCTGCTCCCCGTGCGCTGGCGCCTGTCCTGCTCTGGCCCCGTTGCAGCACGCCAGGCTCTTGCTGCATCTCAGGCTCGGCTTCTTCCCTTGCAGGCTTTCCTGTACAAGGCTCTTGGGACGACGCTGGGAGCTTGTCAGGAACTCCCACACGTCCAAGAGAACCTGCTGCACCATCTGACGAGAGCACAACCTGAGGAGCCATCTGAGGCCCAGGTGAGCTTCCCTGCTCTGTCCCTGGGCCCTGCTCCAGGCCTTTTCCAGCTCCTCATCGCTGCCCGCCACTGTGAACGACTGGGCCTGTGCCAACTGTCCCTCGCTCTTTTGTTGCAGGGAATCATTGCTCTCGTCTGCCAAGCCGCCGACAGCCACTTCCGCCTGGCCTTGGAGACACTGACAACATTTGCTGCCACCTCGAGCAGTGTCCGGGGCCTTAGGGTTTCCAGAGGCAGGAAGGTGAGGTGTTTGGGGTTTCCCTCCCTGGCTGTCTTCCACCTGCTCTTCATCGTGGGCTGTGGGGGGCCATGGGGCGGACGTCTCACAGCATCTCTTGCAACGCAGACGACCCAGGCCAGCAGGAGAGCTGAGGCCACTTGCAGGGCTGTCATGCTCGCCCACAGCAGCATGGCACTGCGTGCCTCCAAGGAACAACTGCTCGCCCACGTGGAGGCAGACATCGCGGGCAACATCCTGCTGCTCTCCATCTCCAGCAGCCAGGTGAGAGCTCGGGGCGTGCAGGGGCAGGGCTGCACCTGAGCTGGGCCGTCTCTTTCTCAGGGTCCCCCGAGGAATGGTTTGTCCCAGCAGGAAGATCCAAGGCCTTCCCCTAGATTTCCCCCATGGGCTCATGTCCCTCTCGCAGCCCGTGGCCCTTCCTCCAGTTCCAAGGGTTTTCTTCTCTCTTGGGCCCCAGAACTTGCAGACCAATCTTGCCCTGGCGCAGAGCATCCTTGAGGTCGGCTGTGCCATCCACGCTGCGGGGAACTTGGGCAGCTTCCATCCTGTCCTGAAGCACAAGCTGCTGCTGATCCTGCAGGTGAGTGCCCAGAGCCAGGGCTGTCTTGCAGGGGAGTTTGGGGCCATGCCAGGAGGCAGGAAGGTCTCCCTCAGCCGCGTGGGAGCTCCTGGAGCCGTGTCCCCAGCTGGTGGGGGGGGCCCTTGGGTGCTGGCAGGCAGTGGCCATGGCTGGGCAGCCGCTGGGGAGCTGCTCCATCCTGCAGCGCCCCTGTGGGAGCTGCGGGAGCACTGCAGCCAGTGTCTGGCAGGAGTGCCCGTCCCCAGGCAGGTTGCGAGAGCTCTCCTGTGCCCAATGCCCACTTGGCAACTTTCTCTTGCAGAACTTGATGAAGACGACTCTCTGGGGCTTCCCGGCAGCGTCCCTGCACCTGAAGGTGATTCTGGCCCTGGAGCAGTGGAGGTAAGAGCGAGGAGCTGCGGGGGCTGTGAGGCGGGATGACGTTCCTCCTGTCGGGGAGCTCCCAAAGAGCAGCACTCCCTGCCACAGCCTAGGCTGGTTGGATTTGGGGCTGTCAATGAGGACAAGCCCAGATGCCATGTGACCCTCTCTGGAGAGTGCTAGGAAATCCTCTTTTTTTGTTTCCCCTTGCCAGCAAGCTGGAGATCTCGTTCAGCAGCAAGGAAATTTGCAGCCTGCTGTCTGACTGCTGCCGGGCCATCCTGCCACTTCCTTCAGCGGCTGAGCAGACTGGGGAGATCAGGAATGCAGAGCAGGCAGTGCTGCAGCTCCAGGTAACTTGCTGTCCCTTCCCTGCCCACCTCTCGCTCAGGACAAGCTGCCCTCCCCAGCACAAGCTGTGTGCTGGCAGCAGCCATGATCCTGCATCTGCGTCCCTCTCGTCCGCTTTCAGTCTCTGCACATGGCCACGAAGGCTCTGGGCCGGCTCATGGCAGTCCTGCTCAAGGCAAAGCCAAGCCCTGTCGACTTGGTAGACATCGCCGAGGTGAGTATCCATGGGGCGCTGGGGCAAGCGTCCCTCCTGTCACCAGTGGGGAATTAGCAGAGGAGCAGGAACCTCCTGCTGCCATGCCAGGTGACTGTGAGCTCGGGGAGGCCAAGAAGTGGGCCCTGCATGGGGGAAAGCCAAGAGGCAGCCCCTGGCTGGCTGCAGCAGGGAGCTGGCTGCAGGGAAAAGCTCCTGGGTGGGAGCAGGTGCGTCTGAAGAGAGTGGGGCAGTGCCGCAGGGAAAGTGCCAGGAAGGGAGGGAAATGGAGAGGGATGGTGGGAAGGGAAAGATGCCCCTTGGCAGACAGAGCTGCTTTGCCCCAGGTGCTGTGGTTCTGGCTCTCCTCGGACGATCCGTGGGTGTGCAAGAAAGCCCTGCAGGTCTGCGCCCAGCTGCTGGAGGACTGCAGAGATGGAGTGGCTTTTCAGGTGAGGAAGGATGCCCAGCGTGTGCCCCCAGCTGCAAGGGGGCCTGGCAGGGCAGCTCTGCCCAGCTGTGCACGGGCTGTGGGGTCCCCCAGCGCAGCGCTCTGGGGTGGCCCCTGTGCCCAGTCCTGGCCTGAGCAGGGCGCAGCTGGGAGACGCAAGGGAGTGCTGGGGCCACCTCCAGCCCTTGTTCTTCCTCTCGCCCCTGCAGACAAGAGGTGCCTACCTGCCGTTTGGCACCTTGGCGGGATTGCTGGGGCCTCTGACCTGTGAGCCCACGAGCAGCTCCCGCCAGCTGGCCGCTGCCTGCCTCAGCTCCCTTCTCCACATCCAAGGTGAGTGTGAGTAGAGCAGGCGCCTGCCGGCCCTCTGCCCCGCCTGGCCCTAGCGGGAACCTGGCAAGGGCCATCCCGCTGCAGCGAGTTCAAGACTGACTCCCCTGGCCTTCAGCAAAGGCTGGGAAGGGAAGTTCAGTTGCCCTAAGTGGGACTCCCCTTTTCTCCCCGTGCTCGTTGCAGCCAAGGCCACGAACAGGCTGTTGGAGACAGACGACCCTGCGAGCTTGTGTGAGGGGCTGAGTGCTCGCAGCGACGCCTCTCAGCAGCTCCAGACCTCCATCCGCATCGCAGAGGTAAGGAGTGCCCTCAAGCTTGCCTTATGTTCTGAAGAGCTGGAGCGGAGCCGTGACGGGCTCTCGATCTCTCCTGGTTCTTGCATCTTTCCAGGTCGTTTGCAAAAACGTCCCCAAAGAACAGGCCGCAGACTTCATGAATGCCATCCTGGGGCCCTTCCGGCATTCCAGAGGAAGGCGTGTGTGTGCTGCAGGCAACTGGATGCTCACCTTTCTGGAAGCGTGTGGCAAGGACATTGGTCCAGACGTAAGAGACATTTTGCCATGCCTTGGACTTTTTTGCTTTGGCTGTCGCACCACACATCTTGCCGTTTGTGTGCTAAAGAAGCTCTCGGTGCAGAGTCAGGGCTCGGGCAGGGTGCTAGGGGTGAAATTTCGCCTTCGAGCGTGAAAGCGTGGCAAGGGAGCAGGCGTGGCTCATGGGCTGAACGTCCATGTTCCCGTGCCAAGACGTTCTTTCTCCCCTGCTTCTTTCAGGTGCGAGGAATCGTCTCCGCCCTGCACACCTGCACAGAGTCCATGCTGGAGCCCTCGTTCGTGTACTTTGTGCAGCAAGCGGTGCTGATCCTGGCCCGCCATCACCGGGAGCTCACGATAAACGTCATCCTTGAGAAGTTTGTGCCTCTGGACAGGTACATGCGCTCCTCCCTTTCCTGCTGGGCTCAGAGAGCCGTAGCTTGCCTCCCCTCCCCTAGGGCGATCCAAGGGGAGCAGCAGCTCCTTCTCCTCCAGCCAAATGTCGGAGGTGTGCTTGTAGCAATGGTAACAGAGCATACAGGCTCATGGTTGCACATCTCTTGGCAGAAACACACTGGAGCTGTGGAGGACTCTGGGGAGAGCCAGCATTGGCCTCGGTGTGCTGAAGCACTTAGCGAGGAAGCTGAACAGAGTGGGAGACGACAGCTGCCAGCCCAGCTCGCCCACTCGCAGGCTGCACGCCCACCAGCCTTCTCCGGAGTCCTTGACTGTACGTTCGGTGGCAGAGGCTTTGTGCCTGCTCCCCCACTCCCAGTCCGAGGGCAAGGCGTTGGGTGCCCTTTGCAAGCGTCTCTGCTGCAGTGTCTCAGCAGTAGCAGTTCGGGACGGCCGGGACAGCGGCTGCTCCCAGGCTGCAAGGCTGTCCCGGAGACGGGGCGTGCAGGCAGTAGAAGTGCCCCAGGCAGCCAGCGGGCCGGGGCTGGTGGCAAAGCTCTTGTTTAACAGGTGCTTGTCGGGTGCTCTCATTTCCCTGCAGGTCACCCGTGCCATCTCCGTAATGGTGTCCGTGCAGTACAAGGAGGGGGTCCAGTGCTTGCTTCCCTCCCTCCTCCCTGGGCTCCTGCTGCAGCTCAGCAAGGCACTGGGGGAAGAGATGCTGTCTGCGCCCCTCAGCCCCTGGAGAGGGCACGCTGAGGATCAGCGGCAAGAGGGCAACGTGTGCAGGTCAGGAGCAGGAGGGGCAGGGCAAGGGGTCTTGAATTGCCTAGCCAAGCATGCTTGGTTGTTTCCTGTCCTGCTTCCTAGGCGGGAGGCCACTTGAGGCTGCAGATTTGCTTTTTTCCTCCCATCCCTGTTTGTTTGGGGCTTTCTTTTCTCTGTTTTTCTCTCTGTCATTCTTGCACGATGGCTTGTGCAAAGTTGGTTTTCACTGTGGTAGAGATGTCTGTGTGCTGAGGGTCTTCCTGGGCGGTGACTCCCAGGGAGCACAAGCACAGCTGCCACATCCTCGCAGGGTTTGTGGCCCAGCTCTGGCCACGGGCAGCTGTGCTTTCCTGCCGTGGAGGCTCTGCCGGTGTAATTCCCGGCCTGTCAGGGTGCACCAAGCATTGCACTCAGGCGGTGCTGCCTCCCTGGGGAGGTTCGAGTGCTCACATCAGTCCCCCCACAACACAACACAACACAACACAACAGGGCACCTTGCCAGGGCTTAAATAGACAGTTGCTTTTTTGGCCGGCTTTTGCCACAGACCTGGTGGCTACAGAGCGTTGCCTCTGCACTTCTTTGCCTCTCTCTCCGTCGCTGGAGCTTGGGATGAGTGAAGAAGCGGCTCGTAAAGCTGCTGAGCATTCTTGCTCTGCTAAGTCCCTGTAAGTTCTGTAAGATCCCTGCGGAACACTGCTCTGATCTGAGACTTCTCTGGCTCTTGCTCTTTCCCAGGCCTTTCTGCAAAACTCTCATGGCAGTGCTGAGCAAATGCACTGAGAAGAGCTGGCTGAGGCCGTTCTGGAGGCAGAAAATGTCGGCGCTGCTGGAGAGCCCCCGCACTTATGCCGAGGGCATGTGCCTCCTGACGAGGTGAGAGCCCCAGGGCAGCATCTCGCCTTCTTCTCGGTGGCTGCGCCCAGGGGAACGGCTGCCGGGGCCCGTTCCTGCGTGCTCGGGGAGCTCTGTGCAGGGCAGAGCAGCGCCTGTGCTGGAGGAGGGCAAGTCCGCGGTGGCAGCCTGCAGCCTTCCCACTTGACCGGGCGTTGCCCCTTGTGCTCTTTGTGCAGTGTCCTGCTCCGTGCCCAGCTCATCTCCCGGGAGCTGATTGAGATCTTCTCCCAGTGGTTGCGCTACCCATCAGCAAACCTGCAGCTGACGGCCATGGCTTTCTTTGCTGAGGTGAGGCAGTAGGAGGGCAGGGGGGCTCCCCAGGGCTTTTCTGAAAGACATTGCTGCTTGGGCTGCCTCTTGCTGTGGGGAGAGATGAGAAGCAAGCGTCCCCATCGAGACTCCTTTGTGCGAAGCCTGCTTGTGTGCTGTGCCTGGGCTGAGGTTGTGTCCTGACTCTCGTGGCTGTGTTGCTCTGTTGCAGCTGATGAAGGAGCCGCCTCTTGAGAAGAGGAACGTCCTGAAGATTCTGCGTGTCTTGGCTGAGAAAGCACAGCACCAAAGCAGCACCATAAGGCAGCTGGCAGCGAGAGCTCTGGGCAACGCAGCCGGCAGCATGCCCGTGGAGGTGAGACGGATTTCCCTGCACTCTGACTGCAGGGATATTCCCCTCCCTAGCAAGACCCTGGGGGAGAGCTGCTTCAAGGGCCTGGACAGAGCGGCAAAGGCAAAAGCAGGGCTCCTTTCCCTGATGCCAGCAGGGCTGCCGAGGGCAAATTGGGTGCCAAACGTCAGAGTAAAAAAGTCTGTGCACGTCTTTGGCTTTGCAGGTGCGGAAGCACGGGAGACAAGTTGTCCAGGTGCTGCAACAGAGCCTGGCGGACACTGCCTGTCCCGAGGTGGTTGCAGAAAGCATGCTGGCGCTAGCTGAGCTCGTGAGGGTGCTGCAGGCAGTGAACTTGGGATCGGCCTTTGAAGACATCGCCAGGGCCACCAAGATGTTCTTCGAGTCTGTGAGTGAAGCCAGCTCTTGCTGCCGCTGCTCTGAGAAGCGTGGGGTGGGCAGGGGCCTGCACGCGCCGCCTGGATGGCCTCTGCTGGCTGAGTGCCTGCTTCGGCCTCGTTACCCAGCTGACAAACGGCTTTCTGCTTGCAGGAAGAAGAGTACCTTCGCTACTCGGCCTTGCGCCTCTATTCAGTCCTGGCCTCCTCAGCCTCGAGCAAGCGGTCGTTCTTTGCCGGAGAAGTGGCGGAAACATGGGTCAGCCTTTTCCTGCACCTCCGGGATCCCGACGTTGCAGTTGCCAGCGTAAGTGCCCTTGGAGGTTGCTCCCAAAGCCCCAGAAAGCTGCGTGGCCACGGCCCAGGCGTGGCTGGCTGAGCTCCCTGGGCAGGTCCCACACACGCTGCTGGAGGAGGAATGACGGCACAACTCTCTTTTTCAGATGTGCAAGATCACCTTCAGTCTCTGTGCTCCATTTATGGGGCTGAGGCGGCCACAGGACATCATCTCTCTCTGCGAGAGGCTGGGTGCACAAGAGCTGCAGGATGCGCTCTGCACTTACCTGGTAAGGAAGCTGTGCTCCAGCGAGACGTCAGGGCCCTGTGGCCCTGCCCTGCCTCTCCCCTTCCCCCTGCCCCAGCTGGCTGAGGGGCAACAGAAGGCATCTTTCTGGACCCTGTGAACTTGTGCCTTCCTGTCTTGCCCTAGGCCAGAAACGCCCCCCCCATGTTGGAGAGGCTCCATACCGTAGCCAGGAGAGGCTTCCTAGAGAACGGGCAGAGGCTGCACCCATCGACCTTCGAAATCCTTGGTGAGAGCCCGCACTGGAACTTCCCACTCCCTTTCCTGACCAGAGAGCTCTGCTTTCTCTTTCCTCTTTCCTCTGGGCCCTGCCTTTGCAGAACAGGGCACACACCGTGCTGTGTCCCATGGCTGAAGATGGGGTAGACAGGGACGCAGGGCTTTGCATTGCAACCTGCCTCCGAGTTCCTTCAAAAGCTTGAGCAACCATCAAGGAGTGATCTGGAGATCAGGGATCCAGCAACCATCAGGAGTGATCAGGGGGCACAGCTGCCTGGGCTGGCTGCTCACAGCTCTGTCTGTCTTGTTGCAGCTTTCCAGGGCCCGAGCAGCACTGAGGACACCTGAGCGTGGAGAAGGCAGACAAGGCCCTAGGTGACCATGGCACCCTGTGGGCAATAAAACTCTGTATATGTACGTGGTCTCACCGCTCGCTGTGTCCTTGGGGAAATCCAACTCCACGTGGCCTCCCCTCTGCGGACAAAGGGTCTTTTTCGTAGGGCCAGGGGGGCACGTTGGGGCCTGTGGGGAAAAGCCTGGCAGGATGCACAAATGGGTTCTGAAGGAGCTGGTGGACCTAACCGTGAGGCCTCCCAGGGTTATCCAGCAAACGTCACTGCGATCAGGAGAGGCTGCTGGCAAACGGGAGAAAGCACACGTCGCCCCTCCAAATTGGTTTCTTCCCTGAAAAAGAAACTGCTTGCCACTCCTGTTCCCAACGTGTACATTTCGTGAGGAGCGCAGAGAACGTATACTACTGTAACCTGGATCTTAACTTTTTCCCCCAGGTTTCACTAAAGAGCCCTTTGCACCCTTTGCACATTCCAGGAATTCATCTTGGGCATCTTTGGAAAACTGCTCTCCAAAGCAGTTCTCAACATGCGCTTCTGGGATGGTTTTACTCGGGTGGGCAGCTGAGCTCCACCACAACCACTCTCTCACTCCCCCTCCTCAAAGAGGAACAGGGAGAAAAGAGGATGCAAAGGGCTTGAGGGTTGAGATAAGGACGGGGAGATTGCTCAACAATGATCGTGACAGGCCAGAGTAGGGAGACAGTCCCATTCATTGCCTATTCCTAACAAGCTAGAGAAGCGAGAAACAAAGGAAAGAAACCCAAAAGGCCATCCACCCTCTTCCACCTCCTCCCCCCAGGCAGCAGTCTCACGCAATTTTCTTTCTTGCAACCTAATTTTAACAGAGTCCTATGACCAGCAGGTCTAAGCCTTATGATTAATGTAGTTATCTGAAGTCACCAGCAATTCAGTCCCTCTTCTACAGGACTATACCAAATGCTCCAGATTTTATTCCACTGAGAAATAGTTACTACAATATTTCAAGTACAGTTTCAAAAAACACGTCCGTTTATATCTTGGTGTCAATCTCAAGTGACTTCCAGTAAACTGGGCTAAATTTTTCCTCTAGTAAGGCAGCATAGACAATTCTGTAGAAATAGTATTCTATAACACAAAGTGAAATATATTGACAACAAATAGAAATCATAAAGTATTTATTGTTTCATTAAAAAAAAATAAAAGAAGAAGAAACTGCATTAGAAAGGTTCTTAATCCCTTTCTCCACACCTTTGCCCCTCAGCCACTGGCAGGTTAATGTTAATAGCTGCCCTCAGGTTAGCCCAGAAAAGGGCACGCTTGCTCCTCTCCTTTGGCCACTCCAGGTACGTTCTCTTTGCCATGAGAGCCTTCAGCTTGTGGTACCTCGCAGGGATAATATACGGAGGAATAGGCTCCAGCAAAATCAGGATCAAGCTGTTGCAGTTCTCACTGAACAACTTGTGATGGGCAAAGTAGAGCTCGTAGTGACACCACTCGCTCTGTACAAAGTTGGGAGACAACACAAAGATTGACTTGTAGCTCTTGTCTATGCAGTTAATGATATTCTCCACAATGCTCTTGCCGGGAACAAAGTTTCTCTCGTGCTGGCACAGCTGGACGCTGCCCTCCCCCTTCTCCAGGTTCGGGATCAGCTCGGTCTTCACCCACACGGAATCGCGCTCGCTGTAGGAAATGAAGGCGTGGAACTGCAGGACGGTTTCCCGCTCCTCGGGGCACTCATGCCAAGCTCTGCGCTTCGTCTGCGTCCACTGCCACAGCATGCGCACATACCACGGCACGTCCAGGTAGATGCACAGAAAGGCCACCACCCCCACCAGCACCAGCGTCAGCAGCAGAGCCGTCACAAGCAACAGGGTCGTGTTGCAAGCGAGCTCCGTCAAGTGGAAGTCCTTCAGCTGCGTTCCCTTCAGGTCCTCGGGGTACTCGCACACGTATGCCTCCGGCCAGCCGGACAGCTTCCCCCCAGACTGCCTCTCCAGACGCACGAAGGCCTGCAGTTCACAGGAGCACTTGAACGGGTTGTGCCCGGCTTCCAGCTCCCGCACCCTCTGGCAGCTCTCAAAGAAGTCGGCGGAAGGGGTGAGGATCGAGTTCATCTCCATATTCAGGATCTCCAGGGCCGAGAAGCCACCGCACCCCGGCAGGTCGGCCAGCCTGTTCGACGCCAGGTTCAGCTCTTTCAAGGACTTCAGCTCAGCAATCCCCTGGGGGACGCTGCTGATCTGGTTGTTGTGTAGGTCCAGTTTGTTGACATTGACCGGCAAGCACCTGAACACGGACTCTGTCAGCTGGTTTGAGGACAGGTCCAGCTCCTTCAGAGACTCAGTCCATTGGCAGTGCTCCTCGGCTCCATCGGTACGCAGCAAGTTGCTGCTCATGTCCAGATACCTCAGTGATTTCATGTACCTGGTCATGGAGCTCACCTTGGAAAGGCTCTCAAATTTATTCTTCTGTAAGATAAATATCTCCAGTTGAATTAATGTGTCACAGTTTTGAAAAAGCAGATCGGTTAAATCATTGTTTATAAAATTTAGGTATCTAAAGGGACTGTTAGATGAAGGACATAGCATATGTATCATCTCGGATCCTGCTACTGTCAAGGCTTCAATGTTCATGTCTGCAAGTATCCGGTACAGGTCATCCTGTGAAAAGTACAGATCTGTGACTAAAATGTTCTTCAGTGCCAGTGCTTTCATGGAAGTACCCGAATACCTGAAGTTATATTTTTCAATGTTCGACAATTGTGTAAAATTGTTGATATTGAAATATTCAATGGATGATTGCCATATAGTCTGAAGAAGTTCAAGAAAAATATTCCAGTCCACTGACACATTCGTCAGTGTCAGATTTTGTAGCCTGGAGCCTTTTCCGAAATCAGACAACAAAGTTATTAATTTTTTTACATTGCTATTAGTGATTTGTGACAATGACAGGCTTTCTGTAGTGTTTTCTATTACAACCCAATTGTAATCAGCTTTGGACTGCTGATGATGATGATTATACAACAGTGGAAGGCTCATGATGTTTTTCTCAGAACCACCTTCTGGAAAATTATTAGAAACAGGTGTAAAGAGTTCATCTTCCACAGACAGGCTGATATTGTTCCAAAAAGTTAAAACAAAGAGACACTCATAAACAAAAAAGTTCTGGAGATCTCTCATTTTCTTTGCCGTACTGGTTTATGGTTCCTTGCCAATGCTCAATATTTATCCATCCGTCTTTGTTCTTATCCTGTAACAACAACAAGAAAAACATATCGTATCATTAAGCGTCTATCCAACAGCCATCAAAGACCAACTTTGTTAAGGTTCATACTTTCTGCCTCTCCCTTTGACTCGGAAAGGGATTATTATAAGCCTATTATCGTTCACGAGAGGAGTTCCTGAACTGTTTACTTAATTTTATTATTTAAATAAGTGTAATAAGTGTTATTAAATAATTTTATTATTTAATTAAGACATTCCTTCATTATTTAATTATTATTTGATGGTGTATTTTCATGCTTTATGATAGGATAAGCAGGCAAAAACCCAGGAACCATATCTCTCTCCTGTTCCACAGCAGTGTTTTGATTGGGTTAAATAGCGGACACGATGAGAACACTGGGTAAGGTGATATTTATTTTTATTTTATTTTTGAGTTAAAACAGAACAGCACCTTCAGTATTGAATGCCAAACACTGGGGTTATTGCCCTAGCAAAGACATAAACCAGTCTCTCTTTATTTCTGTACGACACTGGTCAGAAAGTCCATCTTAGCTGAGGTCTGAATATGGAACTAACTCCAATGGAACTAATCTATTGTTCTGGTTTAGCATACTATTGTGCTATATGGAGTAATAATTCGTGTCAAGAAAATGGTCGATATTAATAAAGAAGGGGGAGATGTGGAAGTGTGGCCATGGGGGTCAGCAAGCCCCAAGGTTGATGGTAACATCAGACTCTTCACGATGAGGCCATCAGGAATGTAAAAGAGCTTAGAGGGAACAAAGAAGGGTGATTCAGGAGATGCCATGCAGTCTTGGGTTCCTTCTTCTCCTCCAGCCGTTAAGGCATGGAAGTTTCTGGGTGTTTGCTGTTGCCAGACAAATTTGTTTGACCGATTAAAAGTTGTTTTTGAAAAGGACTGCTGTGGGGAGAAGGGTAGAAGAGGGGAGCCTGTCCTCAAAATGAAAAAAAAAGGCAGCAAGATATAATGAAGTTATGGCATCAATAAAGAAGTAGAAAGAAGGAATGAAAAGGAACAGGCTAGCAGAACGGAGACCAGGACGGGAACAGGGACATTGATCGCCCCATGAAGATAGCTTCAGCCAAGGTCAGCAAACCGCTCAGAGAAGCTCGCACAGAAAGTCGCTGGAAATGGCACACCGGAGCTGGAGAGAAGCTCAAGCTGAGAGAAGCGGAGCCACACACACAGCTGCCCCTCGCTGGTAAGCAGCTGCACTTTGTGGGGAATCATACATGTACGTCCTTAGGAACAAAGACTGTCCTGGTAACCTTGCAACTTATTCTCCTTATTGACAATCGGACAGTTTATGAGCCTGAAATATGGGACCAAATTGAGGTCAAGGTGTGGGACTCTGCTACTAAAAACGACAAGGTTGCGGTGGGATTGCTCAGCACCTGGCGAGCAATCTCTGAGGCCTTAAAGAGCCCTGTGGGACCACAGTCAGAAACGTGTGGTTTGCCAGACAGTGAGGGAGCTGCGGGCTCCTTTACTGATCCTTCTGCTACGCCATGGGCCCCTCTGCTGCTACAGCCATCCAAGGCTTTTGCTGCTACGCCCTCTGGTGACCTGGACGTGCCTTTTGACCCAGGCCTATTGGCCTTGAAAAGGAGCCAGATCTGTTTCCCTTCGATCTGGGAGGAATAGGATATATAAGGCCTGAAGACCGAGTTGCTTGACAATTTAAAGCAAGACCTACTGTTCTCACGACTAGCCTTGGAAGTCTCCGGAGTTTGTAATCAAGAAAAGGAATGGAAAATGAAGACTGTTATAAGTCATGGAAGATATGGTAGCACTTCAGCCAGGCCAACTATGCTCCCCCAGTCATGGACATTACCTTTTCTGATTGTACATATATAAAGCCGTACTCAGGTTTAGTATGTAAAAGCAACATTCTGTATATGTAGAAGGTTCGTCTGTGAGTGCTGGTAGAGCATAGACTCCCTGCGCACCCAGCACTGTTTACTTGCCTTTTAGAAATACTACTAAATTCAGATTGAGTTGAGACTTCATTTATAACACTATTGTGTATTAACATTTCAGTCAGTCTGGAATCAGAGGAAATAATCTTAAAAATTACTTTTTCAGTTTCAAGTTTATTCTATACATCATAGTTCATTTCACAGCTACACGTGAAAACAAGTTATCCAAAAAAGAAAGGGAAAGATGGGAGAGACACAAAACAGAACATGGGCAATTCATACTCTCCACTGTCACGCTGATAAGCCTTATGGTGGTACTCTATGATACGATACTTTGTTTCTGTCAATATAAACAAGAGAATTCACATCTAGTTTGCAAGTGACACTTTGTACCATTGTTACACACAAGCCATACTATTGTCTGTTCCTGACTGAAGAGGTAAAATCTTGCGGTAAGCCCTTGCTTATACCAAATGTTCACTCTTGTTTTAGAATATAACAATTTAACCACCTGAATGTAACACAGGCATTATTCTACTGAATACAGAATCAGATGCACATTTAGTTAATGTAAAAAACGGCCATAAATTAGTCACCAACAACAGGCTCTATCTGCTTCATTAAATGACAGTATACTGGCTGCTGGCATAGTGTGAGTTCTCCTGTTCTGTCTACATACTATAAAGATTAAGCATATGTTAAAATTTTACCATAAATTGCATGCCATTAGTCCTCATTTACCACTCTAGTGCAATCACTTGAAGATGAATATATTCCCCAAACGACTTGATAAAAGTAGCCAAATTAAGTCATATAATGAAGTTGTTTCCTTCCATTTTTTAAAATGTATATAACTATTTACTAAAAGGCAATATTTTTTTTCTTCTGAAGCCTACCAAGAACCTGTTAGGAAGATGATCGCACTCAGAGTGATAACAGACTTCAGTGAAATCCAAGGTGAGTAGAAGTGTTCTATCTTTGTTTATTGCTCATTTTCTGCACTAATTTTTCTGTTCCAAAACCATTTGCAACATTTCCGCAGTGAGAAAATACAAGCAAAATGAATTACTGAAAAGTGAAAGAGAAAGAAAACTAGTAAACACAAGTGCTAAATTCAGTGAAGCCAATTAGGAACTCGGGAAACTCATACAACGTCCTATCTCACAGACAGACATATACACACATTTACAATGTTCTTTCATCCTTGAGTAGCAACTTCCTATTGCAATACTGACTAATTACTGCAAGATCTATTTTATAGTCAAAATTACCAGTCATGAGAAGGAAAAACAAACCCCCAACTATTGAGCTTCATCTATTATGATTCCTACAAAAACAATGCCTTTACTCTATCACAAGCTCCCTTAAAAAGAACTTGTGAATCCTAATAAATACATCTACACATTAATCAACCTAAAAGACACCAGAACTTCCAGCATGCCCTGATACTTACATTCTCATTGAAACACCTAAAAATAAGCTTATTGTTTAGAAATACGAGCACGTGTTCTGCTATCACCTACCTTAATGGGATACTTCAGATTGTTTTGCTAAGTCATGGAGCTTTATCCTCATTTGTGAGGCACGCTTCTGAGAACTGAGGTTTTACTTCATGACCTCCTACAGCAGCTCTCCTCAGTGATTCATAAGAAGTTTTGTTATGCTTCCTGTACCAACAGCAATTTTTTTTTTTTTTTCCAGCAAAGGAAGTCTGGTGACAGAAACGATGCCGCAACAAATCCTGGAACTGCAAGAGGGTATGCTTTGCCTGAAAACGAAGCAGCAAAAAGAGGAACAGGCGTGAGGGATCCGACAGTGACCAGAACCGCAAGCTGTTTGCCAAGAGCCAAACCAGGGCTCCTCACAGAGCGGCGGGCAGCACCGCAGGCACTTACTGGAAGTTTGTGTACGCACCTCCCAGCTACTTTCGGCTGCATTTCCTAGATATGCAGCCAAGGTGCAGGGTGTCACCTGAAAGGCCAACTCCCAGCAGTGTAATCCTACAGCCGCATATTTCAGCCCCTTTCTGCCTCCTGAGACAAGCGGGGCTGTAAGGGGTTGGTAATGGTGGCTGGGGTGACTCTGCCTGCGGCGGGGCAGTGCTGCCGGCATAGCCTCCAGCCCTGGGCACAACAGGCAGCCGCTTTGGAGGGACGTGAGGGAGAAGGACTGAGGGAAGAGCCCTCCCTCCTCCCAGCGGCCCGGCACGGCACAGCACAGCACAGCAGAGCCGGCCCATGGCCGCCCGGCCATCGCTTCCTCCTCCCCCCGCTGCTGCCGACGTGGCGGGGCGGGGAAGGAGCAGGGGGCGCGCCGGCAAGGGGACTGCTGAGCGGTAAGGAGCACGGCGATTTCTTGGGTTGTTTTGGTTTCCTGACACTTTCCCGCAGGCTCCTCACCCACAACTCAAGCCCGGAGGGGTTTAAACCAAGAGACGAAGAAAAAAAAAAAAAAAAAAAAAGAGGAAGAAGAAGGGGGAAGCTGCGGGTTTCAGGGAGCGGCTGCTCCTGCCTCGCCCTGCCCATGGGGGAAAAGCGACCCGGCGGGGAGTGTGGTGTCGTGGGGATTGCCCCTGGGGGGCAAAAACAGACAAAAAAGAAGTTATCGAGTTATTCCTGAGTGAGGTGGTGCCAGTCGCTTTTGGGGCGGGATGAAACTCCACAGGCGGCCGCCGCACCTCAGAGGTGCTGGTGGTCACCGGGCTGGTGGTCGCCTAGAGCTGGCCTCGATGCCTTCCTCTGGATCCCAAAGGGGAGAGGGGCTCCCTCATGACAGAGCTGTCACGGTCATGTCATGCCGGTACAGCCCGCAGCGACGCCATGCCCTAGGGTCAAGCACAAGTGGATGGCTTCTTGGTTTCTGACTGATTTTAGGAGTTTGCTGTTAGGTGTTCTGGTCCCCAAAGGCAGGCTTAGCAGAGGACTGCAGGGACCGCGGTGGTCCCCAGAGATGAACCAGTCCTCCCACTATCTGTGTGCACATGTGAGCCTTTAAAATTTGTGGTGTTGTCGGGTATTTGATCATCCAGATCCAATCCCGATGCGAAACCGTGATATGTGTATCTACAGGTTTTACTGGGTTTAGTAGAGGATCCTCATAACTGACACAAATAGAAACATTTTCTTGTGGTGATATTACCCATCACACAGAGTGCTGTAAAATTATAGCAATATTTGCCTACATTATTTGATGGTATTTGCTGTATTTGTAATAGAAAACTTCAAATGTTTGCAGCAAATGTAAATATTCTGACTTGTAAATGCATGTTTGCTAAAGATAATTAAGTTACAGCGTAAGCTAAAGTAATGTAAGTGGCATCAAGTATTTGTTTATTTATGCCTCTCATTCACTGATCCTAAACGCTATTCTTGGTACTGTTCAAACAGCTGCTCTAATTCAAATTAGATAAACAGGCTGCTAAGGCCACAGATGTACATGGTTCTATAGACTTCAATAAAAGGTACTAGTATAAGTACATGCTTGACAGGCAGGCGTCTTACTAATCCCAGTTATATTCTGCTTTTCACCCTCTTTTCTTGTTTGCCAGTCTCTTTTAGAACCTCAGTCATTCCAACAGGTACGAAGTTGTGGACTGTTTTTAGTTCAAATGGGAGTCAGTGAAAAGACAGCATCAGCAGACAAGGTTGCTTGAGTTTATTTTCTTCCACTCAGCTCTGCATGTAGACAAGACCTTGCAATGACAGCCCTCTGTCAAGGTTTGTCTTTCAAGTACAGTGCCAGGCATACCATTATTGTCAACAAGTAAATAGTAGTAATCGCTACTAAAGTCCAGTGCTCTTGGACTCTGCCAGTGAAGCTTCCTAATCAGCTGCAGAGCTTACTCCATGGCCATTTCTTTCTTTGTGTGGGTCCTTCGTGCAATGACTACAATGTTGTGGAAAATGCTTGGAAATGCATCAATAACTGTACCTCATGCAAGCTTGCCTTGGCTTCAGAATTGAAGTTTAATCACACAGAACTGATGCCTGACGTTATAGGAATAGGTGAGAGATGTTGTGCTCCCCAAACAGTAAGCTTTTGAGACAAGCAGTACAGACTCTATGTGAGCAGCAAATGTTTCCTATCTGTGAATTGGCTGCAGGGACCCTGGCCAGTTGTGTCTTCAAATTATGACCCATCTCCAATATATTAATATTACTGAAGTTTTTACTGGTGCTTTTTTCAGCTCCTTGGCATCTTCCTCTCTATCATTCAGAAGATGATAGGAACATGTGTAAGTGGAGGTGATGAAAATAAGTGCAAGAGCTGCTTGGCCATTATGTTCTAGAGGCATTGCAGCTCAGATTATCACATTTTCCAGTATCCTATCTATACATCTAATAAGGAACATAGAAATTAACCATGGGGAAGCTCTTATAGTTGACTTATCCAGGCAAATGAATGTGCTTTCTCCCTCAACAAGAAGTATTTTGGAAAACAAAAGAAAAATGCTGCTCTTTGTACTAGAGTGCAGTCCTGCAAGGTGAATCAAGTATTCAAGGTATAATTGTGTCAGGGTCAACATGCTGTATGTACCACAGGGCTCCGTGCTTCAGGAGACCTTACATCAAGGCTATGTTGTTTTTCAGCAGTAGCTTTTGGGAAACACTCCATATTTTATGATTATTCATCTAAAAAGTCTACCTTGTTTTCTGTATTCAGAATTGAAAATGTCTGAAGACTTAGGTGATGGCATCCCACCTGAAGAAAAGCCTGAAGTAGTGGAAATGCCAAGCAATGATGTATTGCCTCACGAGTCAGTACCAGACCTTGTGGAGGCTGAGATCTTGCCTACGTCTTCACATGAGGAACATGGACAGGCTGCTCAGAGTGCCAGTAATGGACAGAAAGGAGGCATATTTATTAATGAAAATCCTTTGACTGAAAAAATAGCTGAAAATTTGCCTTCCAGTGGAGAGCTGGCTGAAGATATGCCCACTGAGTGCATTGAGACAGTAAGCCTTGATGCAGAACCTGAATCTGAAGAAACACCACCTGAACAAAGCAGTCCAGTGAGTAATATTTTCATTTCCATAAATGTCCTTCCCTCCCTGCTCTGTAAGAACAGAGTTTTGTGAAATTTGTATACTGCTTTTTAGAAAAAAAATAAGGAGTTACGTACAGAGAACCTGCATGGGAATAAAATCAGTTAGACTGCAGCACCAAGCCTTTGGAAACTAGGAACAGTTGAATTTCTCTATTTATATCCCTGCTGGAACATTTTCAGGTATCCACAAATTGGAAAAGGTTCAAATGCATTTGTTTAGTCCCACTACCAGTAACAGGGCCCTGCCTCCAAGAGGTTACAGGGGATGTATACAGTGCAGAGCTGCTTGGGATACTTCAGCTTTTGTTCATGAGTTAACTGTGCAGAGGCAGTAAGTTACATGCAGTTGAGACAACAGTTTCTTAGTATGATTTAAATATGGAGTAGTGATACTTGCTCAATTCCACACATTAATGGAAAAAAGTGGGCAGCACCTCTTCTGGCTGTGTTTTGATGGAACACAGTTGTTAGGAATTCCCTGTGCACACCTACTGGGTTACACCTATGAGGAGACTGAGGCAGAGAAGCCTCTAGCTTTGTCTCCCTATGGAACAAAAAAAAGGAGATGGATGCCTGCCTGTCCCAAAGAATAACCATAATACATTTGCATGGCTTTATAAGGTTAGGTGCCTGAAGAAATATTAGGACGTCCATAAGACATCTCTAGAGTTTTGTGTGCCCTCAGGAATAGGTGCTTTGAATTAAGCTTCCTATTGTGCACAGAGATTTAGATTTCACATAATACCCAACCTAGCACTGTCTGTAAGTGATTAGGATCCCATTAAGAATCTGTTGCTCTTTTAGGAATTAAAAAGATTTTAAAATTTGACTTCTAGTGATCAAACTCTGAACATGGAGGCAATATAAATTGGTCATTGTAATAGAACTAGAGAAGCGCATGTCTGTCCAGGGACGGTATATGCAAAATAAGCTAGAATGACACTTGACTGTGACACCGAATTCTTAACTAATCCTCGGTACAGACACTCTTATTTCTTACTGCAGTTGTAGACACATGTTCACTGCACAGTCAATTATTCCCAGTCAAACATTGCAATTCCTTAGCTAGAAGGTACCGTACAACAGCAGATCCTGCAGAACCCATTACAGGACCTTTCAGCTCAAAGCCTGCGGGGTTGGTTTAACCCACTACAGAAGACTCTGAGTTAGCCTGACTTTGTATTGAAATAGCCAAATTATCAGTGTCACAGATTTGGAGTGAGCTTGATGACTATGGTCTCTTCCTGGAGGGAAGAAAAAGTGAGGAAGGAATAGAACAGTCCTGCACTGTAATAAGAATGATACCTCTATGCATGGACTACTTTGCTAAAAAAAATTTGAGCATCTGTTAGAGGAGCTAGCAACAAAGTTTTTGTCAGTAGTCGTTCAGGGCTATTTCTCTGTATATTTTGACTCTAAAGAATCATTCTTCAGAAGGTATCACTGATAACATGACTTTTAGACAGTAAAGTAATATATTTGTTCTTGTAGGCCACAGACTCCTCATCTAAAGCAAGTAGATGGGGAGCTTGGGGTACCTGGGGCAAGTCTCTCCTGTCATCAGCTTCTGCCACAGTGGGTAAGTGCTTAGTCAGTAAGCGATATGGAAATAATTTTAATATGCTGTTAGACATGTTAATGTCGTATCTTAAAAATAACATCTAAAGGCAAAACTAGTTGTCTTGATTAATAAGATTTGTAGACAGTTTTCTCATGATAAGCTTGGCAAACTGATAGTGTGCCATGATTTTTTTTTTTAATAGGATGAAGGACTTTCCTAAACTGTCAGGGCACGTAAATACTTGTCCAGGTCAAATTATGGACAATGTAATAGGTTAGTTTGTAAAGTGAGTGACTTATCATTGTGTCTGCCTCACAGAAAGGGTGCATAGTATGATGCAGTGACTATCAGTTGTGGGTTTTGAAGCCAAAGCCTTCCATCCCCAAATCACGCACATGCATGTTTGTGGTATATGCATTATAACTTCTAACTGCACAATATGAATTCATTTCTCATAAATTACTCTGGCTTTCACTGACACACAGTGAAGCTGGTAATCTTACCACACCAGAGTTCAGGGAGTGAAACAGCATATCAAAACATAGACCCTGTACTCCCTCTCCCTGTATGCTCATTTCCAACGGTATGTCAGCCCAAAATATACTCACATAGACTTCGGGTAAAACTTAATCATTATACCCATTAAAAGCTCACACAGACAAGAAGTGAAGCATGCAATAGATAGTTAGCAGCAGGAAATTGTTTCTCACAAAACAGCTGCTAAGCTGTTAGCTAATGAGCTCTCATCAAGGATCCACAAAATACCTTCAAAGGATGAACCTCGGAATTAAACTTGATCGCTAGTTACTAAAAATAATGAATTTAATGGAGTTATGGGGTTTGTGATCCCATATAAGGTTAAATAATTCTCCTCCTGATCCTTTTTTGTTCAATGGGCAACAAATTATTTCTGTCTATCCCTCAGAGAAGGAGGGAACTTCCCTATCATCTCTTCTTTCAGTAACACCCACACTCAGGAGTTCATAATTATCTTTTCTGTCAGACAGTCGTCCAGTTAACACGACTAATAAACTTAGAATGGGTTTCTAAAATGTCTTTAAACTGATGTAAATAAAGGCTCCTGCTGAAAGGGGCAGGCCTGCCCTGCACTACCAATGTATTTTTCCTTCTCCTATGCTAATGATAGCCTTTGTGTAGCAGTGCAGGGAGCTGGATTCTGGGACTGATTTTGAAAGTACCAATGAAGTGAGAGCTGGTTCTTCACCTGGATTCATTTGTAAATTCCTTAATCTGGTTCACATTTTAATCACCTAAATGCTACTGCTAGTGTGAGGGAAATGACGGGAGCATACAGATGGGGACAAGGACAGCATAACTAGCTGTGGAACTGCATAAGTGTTGGCAGTTTCTATTAAACCATAAAGTTCAGTGCGTCTCTTTCAGACTTGTAGAAGAGCCTGTGTGTTGAAAACTTTGCTTATTTTGTTCCCAGCAGCATTAGTAGGTGTAATAAAAGATACTGCTTTCACAGATTTCTATGGGCCTTGCTTCTCACACATTCTCAACATAACAGCATAGCTACAACAGCATTCTGAAAAGAATTTAGCCTAGTGTAAATAACAAAAGAGGTCAAGTTATGTGCATGAAAGTAATTCCGCAGTTGATCAGTTGAAATTGTAATGGTGATGGATTAGTTCAGTTCATTTTTATAGCTGCAGTAACGGGTTTCTTGGAAAACAGCTCTTCTAGGTGATTCACTTTTGCCTATGAGATAGCCCCATTTATAATCTGATCAGGTTTTGCAGTAAGTAGTAGTATATCAGATGGAAATTCTAATGTTCCTTGTGAGTTCTAATTTACTACCAAACAGACATTGTTTTTGCAGGCTTTCAGTGGCAATCCCACTTACTATCTTCTGTTTCAGTCTCGGCTTCACAGAGCAATCAGTTAATATCACAAAGCGTATACTTTTTCTGTGGAGCAGCATGGATATTTTCTTGCAAAACTGACACAAGCTTGCCTGAAAGTGATGAATACTGTTGGAAAACAGTATTGTTGGGAGACGAACAATAATGTGCATTGTATCTCTTCCATCCCTTCTTATTCCCTAATAAGTAAACAAGACATACTATTTACAGCTGTTTGCTGCTTCTGTCCATGAAAGCTGCTGCCAGCATTGTATATCTGTGAATTTCCATAGGCTATTTTATGATATGATCTTTTTTTATAGGCCATATAAATACTGGTTCATGTACATTTAAATCTCATGCTTCATTGACGTTAAATACCACCTGACTCTATCAGCATTGTTGCTGATTTTCAGTGAGTATAAATATGCAAACAATTTTGTTGTCTAGGCAGTCTGACTTGATAAGGTTGTGTGACGTCTATTTAAAATAGGCATATGATCACCATGTATATATTTGCAGCATTGATGTTATTTTAAAATGAGCATGGTTGGAACAGTTCAAGTTGCAAAGGAGCATCCGCAAGCAGAAAACAAAACAAAAACAAAATTTTTAGCTGTCAATTATTGCAATTGGGAAAGAGTGTAAAAACCAATGTCTATATGTACAGCAGCACTTCTGCTGTTTTTCCTGGAATTTACAACTTAGACAAACTTTCTGACCCAGGGGTCAGGGTAGGATTGAGTTCCCATATTCTGATGGAATAACTGTGGATCTAGCTTTTCTGTATGAATTTATTAAATAAAATAGGCATTGAATGAAGCGGAAAACAATTGACATTCAACTATCCTATAGTCAGATATACTAGGTCTCTCTGGTTTTCCTTATAAGATATTCTAAGGCTGATGTGGATACTAAGTCTTAATTAACAGCATTTGAATTTATTACTTGGGTTGCTAAATCAAACATTTTAATACAGTTCACAGAACCCAAGATAACTTAAAATGCTACATACATAATCTTAGATTTGCTCTAGGAAATCAATACAGCAAGTAATAGTGTATATTCCTGATATGGAGGGCTTATTTCCAAGTAGTATGTTATGGAAATTCATGCTTGATCCTGGAAAGTATTTTCTGCCTGCCACTGTAATAGACAGGATGTTGGGCAGGGTATGCCATATATCTGATTCAGTGAGAAACAGAGGAAAAAAGCTATTGGGAATTTCTGTAAGCTTCCTTCTTTTTATTAAATATTTATTATTCCCCTTAAAGTTACTCTATTTAATATCTGAGCAATTCAACTAATATCAGAGCAGCTTCATCTCCTGTTCTACATCAGAAAATGGATTTGCCATGATCCAGTCCATTTAATGTTGCTTATTGCTTTAGTGCATGGTATAACGGTATAAGTAAAGCTGCTTTTCTGGAATTAGACTTATCAGCAACACCTTCAGTATGTGATTTTTCTGTCTCTGTCATTGTTTCTGTATAGCACAGCTGCTTGTCTTCTGAAACATGACAAATATTTACAGTTCCTTTTTTTTTTTTCCAGAATTGTACAATGTAAAAATAGCAGAAACCATCTGTGATGGACTAGATAACATATTAAAGGCCTAATCAAATACATTCAGCTTTTACCAAATACTTTCCTTTCTCTTTAAGTCTAAGCTGAAACGGTTGTTCAAGGATCCCAGTTGCATTATTCATCAAACCCTGATTTAGAGCTCCCAAACAGATTAGCATTTTTATTGCATGTCTATATGTTTAGCATTGCTGATTTTAGTTTCCAGCAATAGTTTCCGTATAATTTTATCTTATCTCTCTGTAACTAACTTCATATGTCGCTATTGATTGCTTTGGTGATGGTTTTGTCTTCTGGACAAAATGTCTGTTGTCTTTAAAGTGACTGACGTTTTTTGGATCAAAGCCCCTTTCCCTGGCATTTCTGCCTGTGAAAGGCTGATGTGATGCTCCTCCACACAACTGATAACACAGTGCCTTTGGGAGAAGCAGCAAGCACTGCCTGAACCATGCTCAGTGTCTGACACTAGGTGTCACGCTAAGAAAGTTATTGAATCTGCCTTGTTACTGAGGTAAAGGGGGTTGTTTTCTTCTTGAAGATGTAAGAAGTTTGGCTTTCCCCTTTGTGAAACCACAGTGGAGCAGATCCACTGAAATAGTTGCTGGGATGATAGAAAGGGAGTAGTAAGCTCAGTGGGATCTGGAGATAGAACTTGTAGTTATTGTCATCTTTTTACTCTTTTAAATTAAATTGTTTCCCAAATCAGCAATTATACAGTCCAGTGTTTTAGTAACAGTGCTGACAAAACTGTACCATGGGGTCCCTCCTGCAAGCTAAGCCCATCTGATGGCTGACGGCCACTGAAATGTGCAGTCCTGCACCTCTCTTCTCCTTGCACATTCTTTTTTGTCCATGTGCCAGCACTCATGCTTTTCTGAGCACCTGGTAATCCGGTTCAGGAAGCTAAATCGGCATACAAATAACCCCAGAGGAAAGAAAAATCAATTTTCTGCCTCTTTAGTTCCTTGAACCAATTTGCTATGGAATGAGGTAAGTGCCAGGGCAAGCAGATGAACAGACAGGAGCAGGAGCTCCCTCACCAGCACCAGGAAGCCATTAGGTCAGCCTAGCAGTGACATCAAACCCTGAGCCCCAAGGCTTAACTGGGGCAAAATGTATTCTCAGTCTGTATTTGAAGCTTGTGACTTTTTTTTTAAAGAACAGCTTGAATGGTTGAAAACTTACCTGTTTGTTTGTTCATTTTTTCCAACTAAGTGAACCTGCTGGTTTAATGAAAGCTGTTATCTTCCTACAAGCCTTGTCTTTCACATGGTAGATTCTTTTATGTGGATGAATTATGCCTTTCATGTATTTGCAGAAGTTACAGCACTCAACAGGCTGCATTTCCAGGGAAAGCCTGTTGTAGATCAGCTTGTTCTATGATTTGGTGTCATGTTGTATGCATGCGCTTCACTCCACACAAGTTTGCGTGTTTTGTTCTTTGAAACTCCAGTGCCCTTGATTAGGCTGTCATGTATCATTACCTCTAATTCAACAGAAATAATAAAAATAGAGCCCAGCTAGTTAATTCACATGGTCTGAAACGCGTATTATAAAGCTGCATAATGCACCTCTTTCGTACATTGCTTTAATTGTATTCTGTTTTCTTGGTAATTTTGTGTTTATGTACATTTCTCATCTAGCTCGTCACCAAGTAGAACCACACACGGAAATAACCGACACCCATAGTTTTCCCCATATGCTGAAAATTTTGTTTTCCTGTCTTGTGTATGAGGGAAGGAAATGTCACTTTGTTCCTGAACTTGGATATGTGTATTAGTCAGCATTGCATAGCTTAAATTTAAGTCTGTGCTGAACAGAAATGCAAACGCTTCAGATAATGTCAAACTGAAGCATTGAAATGATGTGAATATCACCTCCATTCTCTACAGATTCTATTCCCCTGTTATGAAATAAAGAGTTACATAAAAAAACAAAGGCTTAATGTTATGCCTTCCTTTTCTGCGGTCATAAAAAAGGACAGTTAATCTCTTCCGAAGATGTTTTTGTTGTTTTTTTTTTTCATTGCATAATTCAAGTTTTCAGTTGATTCAAGGAAGACTATTTTTGTGCCTGAAACCACATGGTGGTCACTCAGCTATTTTGTGATGGCACATTACAGCTGCAGAAGCAGCAAACCCCTTTTACAGATCTTCCTTTTTAAGAATCCTGAGTGTAAGTAACAAATGGGAGGAACTGTGGACATGCTTTTGGGGACTGTAGTCCCATTTGCTTTCTTTGTCTTTTAATGTGGGCTTATGATGTACCAGAGGTTGAGAACCAATAAAGTGTTGTAACAGCCTTTATGCCTATTGCTACTTTATTAAAGCATTTTATCAATTCAGGTAAAGAGATCTGAAACTAGTCTCATTTATGGGCTTAATTGGAATTATTTCTGATTTACAGACTGGATGGTATAAGTATGGTAAAAATCTAGGCAGTGTATTTGTTTTAGCTGCAGGGAAGGTAATTTTGCTAAAGCCCTGAAGTAAATGGAGTGCCAGTTGTGAAGCCTGAAAGTGAGCACAGTGTGCTCCCACTGCTTTAATGCATATGAGCAGAGTCCAGCTGCCTTTTCCACATACCTATATGCATCCAGTGGGGTGATGCCTTCCAACAGTGTTCAGGTTCCTCAGTTTCCCTGTCAGTTTCAGATGCTAACTGAAGGCCTTAATCTTCAGCTTGAACTAGGAGAAGCTTCATCCATTTTAGTAGGTTAAATTTCTATCGGTAGTTCATCAGGGACACCCCCAGTGGTACAACGCAGGTTACAGACTGGGGTAGGCAGAAACAAAATTGCAAACTCATCCTCCCTACCTGTACCACTGAAGCATGGAGTCCAGTTGCCTGGGAGTGCGAGATTGACAAGGCACGGAGGTTCTTGCAGGAATGGCTGAGGTTTCAGATGTGCTGAACCACCCTCCAGAGAGGTTTGTCTGCCTCTTGCAGCTCTGCAGGGAACCCAAAGCTGCTCAGCTGGGAGGCTGAAGATGAGAGTGTCTGAAGTGAGGTGGGATGTGTCTGACTAAAGCATTTGTGATCGCTGCGATTTGGCCTTGGGCAGATCAGGCGAGCTCAAAGGTAGGCCATGATTTTAGGCGGTGCGTGCAAAAGCTGCCTTTTCAAATGAAAGATTCCACCCAGCAAGCTAAACAACAATATTCTGCTGAAATTACCAGCCAATACAATGAGGAAAAAAAAAAAAAAAAAAAAAACAGTCAGCATGTAGGCAAGAAAAACAAAACCAACAGCACAGAAAAACAAACTTAAGGAAGCGTGTGGTTTTCTTCTTAAGCAAGCACCCATAGCTCTTTCACCTCTGCTGTTCAGATGAGTAAGTGGGGGCATCTGAGGTGCTCCTAAGTTGACGATATCAGTTCAGTTGGTGCCACACCCAGTGTAAGAAAAACAGTGCGATGTTATCTCTAAAATGCGGCCTTATCTCCCACAACCACTTTTATTTCTGTGCTTTTGGAAATCAAAAATTATTATTTTCATTTCCAGCGCAGCATGTGGCTGTGCAGCATTTGTGCAAGTATGTCTGTCTAACAGTGCTGCATTGTTTCACTTGTGATATTCTGATGTTTTGCTGTTGCAGTCAAAGGTACATGCTATGCAGCTTCCTTCAGCAAAAACACTCCCGGCTGACCTGAAATATTTTCTTGTCATTCTCGTGCATGTAACCACAGCCTTGAAAATGCTGCCTAAGACTGTAAATAGTAGTACAGCTCCTGTGTGAATGCAAATCTTCTTGGAGGTGTAAGCTCATCTGCAAATCCATGACAGCCAAATCACAGAATGTTAGAAAAAATAAAATAAAATAAAACCAATGTATATTTATAGAGAGAAAAAAAAATGAAGAACTAATCTGAAAATCATTAACTTTTTCACAAACACTTAAAAGGAAATTTTAGCCTAATATTCATAGCTAAATGTTTATATGATTAAAGGACAATATTTTGTTATCAAGTCAAAATCTTTAAGCAGTTTATGTCAATGGAAAGAACAGAATGCTTTTTCTCATTTAACAAAATGTGAGCAGGGGAAATGGAAAGGAACATGACACCAGGTATCTTTTACTTGATATTTAAAGACACGTTATAAGTATCTTTACTTATACTTAAGATACTTTATAAGTATCTTTAAAGATACTTATAAATAAATTTAAAGATACTTTACAAGTATCTTTAAAGCACAATTAATAATTATTTAAGTGAGTCTCAGGAAACTGATGAGTAAATAAGTGACTGAAGAATCTATTCATGCAGATATTTTCACTGAGCCAATTAAAATGTGCAGGAGGTTGGGATTAGACAAAGTAGTACTCCACTCTCCAGTATCTGCACTGAAGCAGACCTTACAAGGGGCACATTATTCAACAATGATTTATATTGCTGTGGCAGATAGCCTAGCATGTCCTATGTGGTTGTAAGACATGAGATGAAATAGGCAAAGGCCGTATTTTCTTTAGACAGGTAAGAGCATTTATGTGCCTTGTTTCTCTGTTTCAGTGTAAAACATCAGGGCTCTGTGTAATTTATACTCTCATATGGAAAATCACTTGTTTCTGCTGGTCTGTTCCTTAGGGAACATCTGTTCTTTACTTTGTGTTTTCCTGCACATACTCCAATTTTCTTGTATGTCATCTTTCAGTAGTGCTGCTTCACATATGGTTTCTGGAGTATATTTATTATCGAATCTGTAGAGCACCTGATACACAACCCATCTGGAAATCCCAGAATCATAAATTTAAGCTTTCCTTCTTTCTACTCCTTTCCAAATAGTTTTGATGCATCTTTTTAATCAGATTTTCAAGAAGCGTATCTGTATGACTGTATATACACATACATCTATACATATGTATATACATATATGAGTATTTATATAGATTATAAAATAGTTCAGTTGGAAGGGACATTCAAAGATCCAGTCCAGCTGCCTGACCACTGGCAAATGATAGGCTGTTTTGCTGTAATTAGCCCAAAAAGATGTTTTGAACTTTCATAATAGGAAGTGCATGCAATTGTAAGAAAGTTTGGGCAACGTGTGATGAATTGTTACGCTTGACTTCCTGCCTTAGATGTGTAAGTGTCTGCCTAAGCATCTGTATTAATGGCTTTACTGAAATTATTTATGTAGTTACCATTCAGTTTAAGGTAGAGAGGCCAAGAAGTGCTGGATCATCATTAATACTTCCAAGTAGTTAGGACAGGTAAGTAAAGTACTCTGTTGCCCTACTGCTGGAAATGATTGACTTTACAAGCGATGCAGTAGCTGTGTAACATGCAAGACCCAGGAAAATAGGGGCACTGAAGCCATTTCATTGTGTTATGGAATAAACAGGAGGGCTTGCCTGGCTCGTTGGTTACTGACTGCAGTCAGCTGATGTGCAGAAGCTTCCAGCTAAGGCAGGTGTGCTAGCTAGATCGTTTGTGATGAGATAAGCACATCATGAGCATGACTGCGTAGGGTTATATCCAGAAGCAGAATAGGCAGATCATTTCAGGGTAGTCTTTTTTTAAGGCAGTATTTTTCAACTACAGCTGATGCATATGAGGAAGCTACTGCCTCCTTTTGCTGACCACCAGCCAATCGCACTGTATCCTATAGTGGGATATTAGCAGTCCATGTAATCTGCTCTAGAAAATTCTGTGTAAAAAAGCATGCCAAAATGATTCAGATAAAAACACTAATGACATACATATTTTTTTACATAAAACTAGACCATTTTAGTAGAACAGAGTTAAGGAGTCACTACATGTGCATCTGCACAGAGGGCACAATCTCTGCAGGAGATTGTCCACCAGTGGAAGAATAATTCTTTGTCCTCTAACACCTCCAGACTTTAAAAAGTGTATTTAAACATCAGTTTTGAGGATACATGCTTCAAATTTGACTTTAAATGAGCAACTGGGAAACATTGTTCCTAAAGTACTTAGTGAAGAATACTGAAGAACAGATTTCTCACCTCAACCCTGCAGTTATTCACAGTTCATCAAAAGGCAGATAAGGTTATTGTTCTGGACCTCTGAAAATGAAATAATGCCAAACCCTACAGCATTGTGAGGATGATCAAGTTCTCTTTAAACTTTCTAATAGAATATTCAGCATTTTGAAAAGTAGGGAACTAAATTAAACTCATTTGTGCCATTGAAACAAGTTTTACAACATTTTTGATCCAGTGTCATTTGTATTATATTTTAACTTAATTTTTTCTAGTCAGCTAATGTACTGGACATAGTAGAACAAGTGAATTATTAACCTAGAAAATAAGTTAAGCAAGTGAGGTAGGTTTAATGCTTACCCTGATTATCAGTTTTTTTGGTGATCATTCGTGGAACATAAGGATACTACACACTGTTTGGAATAAGTTTTCAAATCACACAATTTAAAGTATGTTCTTGCTGCAGGTCATGGGATAACAGCAGTAAAGGAAAAAGCAGGAACTACCCTGGGAATTCATAATGCAAGTTCAGCATCTTCAGAAGCAGCAGAGCATCCTGCAGCTGAAACATCAATTATACGTAAGCTCACATTCACTGAAATCTTTGACACTCGTTGACACTGCCAGATTAACACAATTCACAAATTTTAGTATTTTGATCACAAGATCCAGTTTACTGTAATTTTTGACTTGTAGGGGTGAAAGAAAACTGTAGCTTGCTCTTTTTTTGTTGTTGTTAGAAGCAGAGGATTCTCTGGACCAAAGCTCTTCTGAGAATATTCCTTCTTCTCCTTCATCTGGATCCCGTGGGATGTTGTCAGCTATTACTAATGCTGTACAGAACACAGTGAGTCATTTTAGCAGGCCTCTCTCCTCTAGGCATTTTTCATCATTTTAGGTGTAAATTCACTGCAGGTGACATTTAATGAGTGGAGTTTGTTGGGTTGTAGGTCTTTGTACAAACAGTTCTGTTGTAAGTCTGTTTCAGGTTTCTTCCAGTGAAAGTGAAATCGTTAGCCAATGAAAATTCTTCAATGTAGCTGAAAAATTTCAAGTGAGGAATAATTCTAGTATGAAGACGCAGGAAGAACAACTGCATTTCTATAGACAGATTTATCACGTCAAAATTTTAGAAATCAGTTAGATAAGACAGCCTCATCCTTTTCATTATAGACTTTGGCTCCATATTTTTCTTACCTAAAATATGTTTCTACTGACTAGCTGCTACTTAAGATAAAATAAAAGTGGTATTGCTCTTAAAATTTTCATTGGCAACAGGTATTACGTTTCTTCTCACGTGAGTCTTTCAATTAACTGCAAATATTTGTATGGTTAATTTTTTTCATTTTGAAAATGTATTCAGAACAAGGTAGCATAATTTTATGAGCATATAAATCCTAATGTTAGCTAAAGCAGAGAAAATCTAGGGAGCTGAATGTTCAAAGATGGTATCAGCAAAAGTAATACTCTTTATGGCTCATATTGGCATAAACTAGAAAGGAAATAACCACGTTTCGTTATTTTATACAGGGGAAAAGTGTATTATCTGGAGGCTTAGATGCTTTGGAATTCATTGGAAAGACAACCATGAATGTCCTTGCAGAAAGTGATCCTGGATTTAAGAGAACAAAAACACTGATGGAAAGAACAGTTTCTCTCTCTCAGGTTGGATTTATTTTAATACGGCTCTGTCAATGTGGTTTTAGATTCTTTTTGCAGAATTTCATGTGCCTCAGGGAGAGGCTTTATTTATTGCAGTAGATATTGGCTAGGCTTACAAAAATAAATATTATGCTTTGTGTTTGCTACAGTTTCTTTTTCTTCACAGAACCACAAAAGATGATGTAAAATCATCCTTTCTGCTTAATTATGTGAGGAATAGCTGATTTTGATGAGGTAATATATGTGGTAATAAATTATTATACTCTGGAGAACAATCAAATAGTTAGTGGTTTTCTAACAGCTGTAGATAGATGTCCTCCGGCACAAACATCCCTATACTAATTTCCCTGGAAATGAGTAATGCAGGAATATTACGTAGGTTTCATTAGGAGTTAAAGCTGAGAAAAGTTATATCTTATGTCCTTTTAAACTAAATGTACCCTTGGAGAGGAGTCAAGTCAGGACTTGTATCTTTAAACGTTCAGAGATATGGTGATAATAGAACAGACATATAAGTGCTGCCAGTACAAAATTATTTTAGTTCTCCAGGCACTGAGGGGAGGGAAGCTGTGGAAATCAATATACATGGGGAAGGAAAAAAAAAAAAAGTTTTAATTTTACTACACTTACCACCCAGTAGAAAGCAGTAAAGGATCTCTCCTTTGATGAGATGTTTCATCTTTAGTATCAGTCCTTGTAAATTGATACAGACTATTGCTGTTGTGGTAGGCCAAAAGCAAATAACTCTTGTACAGAATGTTATTGTAATTACACATATTACATATGTCTGTTGCAGTAGCACTCTTATTTTAAACAGTCGCCGTTGATAAAGTGGAAATGCATGCAGGCATAGCACACTGCAGTCTCAGTATCACAGCTGAAGTCTGCACCGCAGTGGGGTTCTGAGTGTGTGTGGCCAATTCAGTAACGTTGGCGGTTGTACCAAGGCTTAAGCTTGTAGAGCGCGTTTCGTGGAAGGCATCCCAAAGCACTTCAACAGGGTAATAGCATTAGATCTGCAGTAATGAAAGTGGCTCCTGCTTTTTATAGAGACTGAAAAATTTGATCTATCTGGGAAAATTAGTGCAGATTGTAGGATTCATGTATTTAAACATAGGGCTGTTTATACAGGTGTATTTGATACCATATATGAAATGCTGTCTGTAGACATGTAAAACAATTGGACTTTGTTGTTGACCTAACTGAGGCATGCATTTGACTTCTTTTTATAGTTTAAACATATAAAATGATTTTATACACATCAAAATTAAGGAGACAAGTGGGATCGCAAATTACTCAAAATCAAACTTAAAGAATGCTTAAAATAAGCCTGATACAATGTAGGATAGGTCTTTCAGAAGCAACAAATTTTAACATTAAAAATTATCAACTTCCAGTGCCCTAACCATGCCCAGTGCTTTGTAATTTGTTGCTTTTCTCTACCTGTAGTGACTAAACTGGGCTTGGGCTCTGAGTTGGCCTGTAAGCAGTCTGAGCCATTCCTCCAACTATACACATAGTCAGGCACACAGGGTTAAAATGAGCCTCTGACAATACCTACCTAACAGTATGTGTGAATCCACCCGTTACATTGGATGCAGAAAGTTGTATAAATCGGTTCTCAGGGGTCTCATAACATAGTGCTTCCTTTTAGGTGATTTGTACATAAAACTTTATGTGTGATTTTGGGGGTGGAGACTTTGAAAAATCTGTAATTGTAAGAGATATGTAAAAAATGAATAACTGAAGACAATATCATAGAAATTTTTGAATGATGGAATGGTGTAAGTGGTGTGAGTTTGCCTGTATTCAAAGGCTTGTATGTGATTTAAGATGCAGTTGAGGTGAATTTAGCAGCTTTATGGTGGCAAATTCATGCAAGCAGCCAGGCCTTCCTGGAAATTCTGCTCTATAAGAAAACCATTCCAAAATATCCCCAAATATATGATGTATACTTCTGCCTCACTCTTGGAAAAGACATATTTAATTAGTCAGATCTCTTTTGTCAGTCCTGCTGTCACATAAAACTGAATTCAGTATCTACTAAAAATATTTTATGTATGTAGGAAATATTTATGTAGGTGCATTACTTATGCAGGTAGGTAGGTAGGTCCTGAAAATAATATTCTTCCCATTTTGTGGCCTGTGGAATGGATTGCATGAGGCTTTAATGCTCTGTATGAAACAGTCCTTTTTATTTTTCTTCCATTGCAATTGGTGGCCAGATTTATGAGATAGTATTCAAAGCTGATATTACTTCTGAAAACATAAGCAAGATTATTTGTTTGTTTATTGTTTGTTTTTGTTTGTTTGTTTGTTTTTTAAGAAAAGAAAAGAAAACAAAAAAGATTAGTGATTACCATTGGGAAAAACATGCTCAGAATACTACTTAAATATTTCAGTAGAGAAGTTTATCAAAAAAAAAAGTTAGGTATTTCAGCTCTGTAGGTGTTATATTGTTCCAAATTTTATTACTATTTTCTAAACAAGCAGAAACAGGAGGGAATAAAATGTCATACCTACAGCACCACCAATAAAACAACAGGAATGATGTATATTTTTGCAGCTGTTACGAGAAGCTAAAGAAAAAGAGAAACAGAGACGGGCCCAGCAAGTTACAGTTGAAAGGACAGCACATTATGGACTGCTTTTTGATGAGTTCCAGGGTTTGTCTCATCTTGAAGCTCTGGAAATCTTGTCAAATGAAAGTGAAACCCAGGTACAGTATGCAGACTGGATAAGTCACAATGGCTGGTAAAAAATTGTTCTTTACATTAATTTTGATATGAAGTTGCATGTGAAAATGAACAATAGCGTTCCATCAGCTTCAGAGAAAGCTGGATTGGTCCCATGGGAAGTCTGTGGCTTCGGGAAATTCATCTCAGTACATTTAGAATTTAACTCAAAGATTAGGTCAAAAGAAACAACTTCACAACTGGAAGTTATTTTTGTTAAGATCATGCATAGTGTATATCTTTCAGCTTGTAACACTGTGCAGATGTCTTTTCAGAATTTGCAAGGAGGCTCAAGTCTTTTGGTTTGTATCATGCACTGATACTTATACTCAGGTATTTCAGACCTACTACACGTGGAAGCTAGTGAATTAAAATTAATTCCAGATTAATTATTCAAATTCTGTCTTCTTTTTGTGTTGGTTTCTAAACTTACAGCAGACTACCCCAGGAAGTATACTGAAACTATACAAATTCTGTATGTCTCTCCAAAGAACATGCTAAAGCTGCTGATACCTATATGATACATATATTTTTTAATTTCAGCTGTCAAATTACTGACACTGCTTCTAGATCAGTACAACAGCAACAGTATATTACTAGAACTTTTGTAAATTTGCATCAGTGGTTTCATAATGAAACAGTTTTCTGAATAAATTTCTTAAAATACATTTTCTTTCATTTTATTTTGGTAATTAACACTCCTTACCCTCTGGGTTATTTTTAATAAAAAATAACCAACTTAATTTTTTAAGGTTTTATTTGCTCTCAATAATAATAGGAGCTTGCTTTAATAGCAGATAGGTACCTACTCTCTCTGTTTGTTTGTTTTTTTCTGCAATTATGTCTAAAAGCAAAATTATAAATTCTAAGCCTACAGATAAGGTTCAATAGTCTGCTTTTGCAAGAAAAAGAAAAAAAAAATTTCAACACGGAAAAGAAATACAGAGAGAACAAGTTCAGGCTGTGTCTGTCAACACTATTTTTCTTTTACTGTGAAGTACTGCATGGTAAGACTTGTGCAAGTTGTAACTTTGAGGTTTCTGATAGTGCTGTATGTTATGTCTTAGATAACCTGTAGATTACTTGTTGAAAGTCCTGCTTTGTCAGCTATCTAGAAGATATAAGCACATAGGACTGAATGCGATGTCTGGGTCTACAAGTCCAATTACCTGATACATATTCCAAAAGGTTTAGAGAATGTATTGAAATTGCACAGTACACACCATAAGGTGCACACTTATACCACACGCTCCCAGTACTTACAAGCTTGGGACCATAATAACTGCCTAAAAGCCACACTCTGATGGGCCCACAAGAAGAATGCAACAGAAACTGAAGGCATTGCTAATGTCCTTGGTCCTTCTGATAGAAGGGATTTAAAAATACATATATTTATTAACTTTTATTTTAAAAAATCACAGTTATCATACAAAATGGGCAATGCTATTGAGAGGGACACAAAAACCGTAGGTAGTCCATCTCATCTTGAGGTGGATCTCCCAGCTTTATTTTGTATTTACTCTGAGCATATGAACTGAACGTGCCAAGGTGGAACACCAGAGAAGCATTTTGTGTCTCGCCAGTCTCTCACTGAGTCAGTCTGCACTTGTGTGAAGCAAGCTAAAAAAAAATAAACACCTTTAAACAAACCTAAAGTAAAATTTTATAACAAGGAGACAGAAGACAGTTCTTTTGGCTTCCATAGGTAGAGAGTGGGAGCATGAGACTAACGCAACATAACTGTAATGCAAACAGTGATTTAAATAAGCTGTTTCCATCCCTCTTGGGCATGCCACCCTATTACATATGCAGGGACTTGCAGATAATCTGCAACTTGCAGTTAGCTCAAAAGATGTCTCGATACATTCTTCGGAACAGGTAGATCAGTACACTGTCAATAAATTTTGGTGGGATTCTGAAGGAGGAAAATCAGGCTCCCACGAATGTTAAGCTAAGCATGAATTGTGTCTGCTCTTCTTGCACGCTGTCTTCATCCAAACAATCCCAACTGTTTATTACAGTTTGCAGTTAAAACACAGATTTATAATTCAAAATAAACATTCTTGGAGAAGGTAGAGACCTGGTGATCTTACAAGGCTAGTGTAATTTTTGTGATACTTAATCAAATGTTGATGAGAACTAAAGACAAATCTATGTAATTTGGAAATGGAATTAGTGGAAGTTTCCATTCTTAGCCTGTTTTGGTATCAGGCTCAAAATTAGCCATTTAACAAAGTCCGTTTCATTTTGGACTGCTTTATGTCCCTTCTTTTACAGATTCAGTCATATTTGGAAACACTTGATGGAGAGCAGTTGGAGACTGTGAAAAATGATTTAATTGCTATAAAAGAGATTTTCGTTCCAAAGGAATCAGATGATGAAGTCGTGCAGGCACAGAAAGGTAATCAGAAATACAGAGACTTAACTTGTGTTACTTCTGCATATAGCAATTTAAAAAATTAAAATCCAAACCGTAATTTCTGTTATCTTAATATTCCTTGTAAGAAACTCACTAAACTGATTATGCTTGAAGTTCTGTAACTTGAAAGAATGCTTAACTTTAGATTTACATTGTAATTGGAGTCTGAGAAAGAGAAAATAAAAGATAACGATGTGTTATACCATTTTGCTATGTCATCAGTGCAAACAAAACAAAAATGAAAAGGGAAAATAACTTTCTGGGTGACTGAGGTTTTGTTACAGTCTCTTTCTGAAGTTGTATAATTGGAAAATTTAGGAATATTTAACAATGCTTTTCTGTTTAGCAATTTCATCCTAACTTTGCACCTTCCCTTGGTAGTTAGGGAAAGGGTTAGAGTGTAATTAAGGGACTTGAAAAATCTGAACTCTTTGAACAAAAGGCACTGTGAAACATAGTGGCAGTGCTGCCTTCTAGGTATTGCTTGGCAAGATGTTGCATATGGAGTGTTAGAAAGAAGTCTAAATAGCAGAACATGCCTTAACTATCACAGTGCACAGCATTAAAGAGGGTGGGACCAGTGTGGTAGTCAATAAAATAGCTCACAAAATACATGGATCCTCTGGTTAGCAGGAAAATGGGTGTCTTAAAGCAATTATGACTTTTGGCATTCCCCTGAGTGGGCTCGGGTCAGGAAAAGTTACCATAATTTATACCTCTGGGCCTGTGAGATCCATGCCAAACCTCTTCTAGCAAATAAAAAGAAGACTGAACACTGAACACTCGACTGAACACTGTCTCAAGCCATTAAACATTGTATTCAGAACCTTACTTTGAAAGATCTTTCTTCACATCCTTTTGATCTTCTCAGGAGTGCTTTGCCTATATTCTGCAAGATGCTGAGGTTTGATTTTTCTAACCTTCGGAAAAGTTAGAGAAATTGTGTTAACATCCATGTATTCCAACTGGAAAGTATTTCCTCATCAGACTGTGTTCTTTCAAGCAGTGCTTGCTCAGTATGCCTGATGTCTCTCACAGGTAGCTTATTGCTTCTCAGGGGAATGAATAGCAAGTGTTCAGTGTAAAATCTTAGTATGGTAGAGTTTTGTGCTGTGTTTTCCCTTGTTACTCTTGAAAACTCCACTTCCTTCTGTGGGTTTGTGACAAATAGAAGTGGAGAAAGTGTTTTACCTGCTAAAGATTGAGGATTCATGAGATGTGTGTTGTACCTTAATTTATATGGAAAATAGCTTTTCTTTGAAACCAGCCTCCAGAAAAAGCTCTGCTTCTTGCACAAAGTGATGTTTCCTCTGGTAGTTAGAAATTCAGTTTTTTTCAGTGAAGCACAGCTGCTGAACACTTCTTGAAACATTAACTGGCCTTCTAAATGTGTTGGAACCAAGACAATGAGCACCTTAAAAAAAAAAAAAAAAAGGGACGAAGTGAGAGTTTGCTGCAGGTGTTCCCCTGCAAAAGTAAGTCAGTCAACAGTGAAACATATCCTCCTCTCTGTGACAACAGAAATAATAACCACGCACAAGATCTCTCCGCATTACAGTTAAATGGGTGTTACTTCAGGCTGTGATTCAAAATGACTCACATCCTTTAGTGCAGTCAAACTCAAGATTTATTAGTACTTGAACTACAGATAAATTTCATATATTAGTACTAAGTTGGATAAGTTTTAGTTCCACTAGAGGACACAAAAATAATAGAAAAGTTAATCACCTTTCAAAGTAGCTTTCTGTTAGGATGGAGCTGACAGAATGTGGTCAGACTACTAAGCGGGGACTTGTGGCCTTTCTTCAGCCTCTCCCATAGTACATGGAACACTGCCTGTACTGTAGAGAGAGTGCTCTCAACACCATGTAGTGCTTTGACACGTCTCCTCTAGGCAGTGTCCTAGTCACAAAAATATGTTGTCTTCATTTAGGTCTGTCAGAGTGAGTGAAGGCTTCTTAGGAGCTTCATAAAACCTTCTGAGTCATGGAAAACAGACCTTTTCCTGAATTGTTAATACACAGGAACTTAAGTGTTTTTAGTAAGAGGAGCAGATGAATAAAACCTCATAAAACTTACAGAATCCCAGTAATAGTCCCATACATGACAGTTATATGCCGTTTTCAGATAAAAACAATACCCAGCACCTTTACATATAATGCTGCATGGGATTTGCATGTCTGTTTCCTCTGATGGAGCACAGTTTTATTAAACTGTTTCATATTTTGCTTGGACTTCAGTTTTCCAGCCTTTGCATAATTCAGGTTATGTTCCAGTGATGCTCTATTGACTGCACTTCATGTTCTGGTCATATTTTACAATTAAGTTCAGCTTTTTGGAGTGCGTCAATATGTATCCTTCAGGGAGTACACTCAATCTTTTAATTTACACTAAGAAAATGTGTTTAATGTTAGGGGAAATTCTGAATATCATTTAGCATCCAGCACTGATGAAAGACAGTAGTTTAACAACAGGTTGGCTGATCAGGGTCTTGCTCTAAAGAGAAGACTTCATTCTAGGTTATGTTTTTAGCCCAGGCTAACTAAGGTCCTGTTAAGTACATTCATAAGTTTTATACTTACAAAGTCAAGCCAGCAAGCCATATGGTCTTTTAATGGCATATTTTTATTATAGGAGTGTATAATTTCACTTCAGCTGGCTCATCTAGCAAGAGGTAGCAGGCTATGTTAAAGCCTATGGAGGAATTTTGAGTTTTAATCCTGCTTGCTAACTAGTTTATAGCTATAATGAACTCGCCTCCCATAGGATTTTAATTTGTGCTTCTTAGGTTGATAAAACGTGAATGTTTTTTTTTTCCTTTGTATGATGAAGCCATCCCCTTACAGAAGCCAGAGATTAATGGTGTTTGAAGATGTAAATACTGTGCACTGGATAGATAAAATTTAACAAAGAAGTTAATCACCACCTGTTGTCTAATTTGGTGCCAGTTTCTTTTGATCAAGGTCATGTTATTTATTTGGTGACATTTGCCAATGCTGTATATACTGAGCAGAACAAGAGACTAGCTGGGAGGAAAACCAATACTTTACATTCAAATATTTGAAAAGGGTGGCTGCTTGTTTTATGTAAACTCTCAGATTCCATTCTTACCTTAGGCTCCCAGGATGTCGGTCAGAGGTGTTAGTGCTGCTTTCCATTTCTACAGTAAACACTTTCAGTTCTGTGCAAGGTGATATTACTGCAGTGGTCTTTGGAGGACTGCTTTGGGAAAGGTTTGGGACTAGGCTTTGTTTTTGACAACTTTGAAACTGGGGTTGGAGGTTTTTGTGTCTCTTTGCTAGGCTCAGTCCTATAGGTGGAAAATTGGTATGAAAAGAAAGGGAAAGGCTATTTTCTGATGCAAGTAGGAGAAAGCCAAATGCATAGCCTTCTCTTTGGTGTTTTTCTCTTGCTTTGATTGTGCAATTCTTTCATGTAATTTTTAGTGCAGCTTCTTTTCCTTTCAGTTGATTATGAAATATTGAGAGAAGAATACCAGAAAAAAAAAGGTAGCTTTTCCTACATTTTGAAAGCCATTAACATCAAAGATTTTGTGTGCAAGCACATGAGGTTAAATGAAAAAGTAACCAAACTGAGCATTGAATTGAATATGCCATTTATCAAAAATTTTGCTAACACTGCAGTGATCCAATGAACTGCCTAACAGTTTTCAGTGTGCTGTAGTTTAAAAAAAACAGTTTGGCGTTGTCTTAAGAACAAGTGAATTCAGTGTGTCCAAGACACAAAGTGAGAACATAGCAAGACATGAAATTCATTTTTGAAACTTTTATCCGGCTCGGTATGGGGACTTTAACTTTTTAGCATCAGCAAGCTAAAAAAAAAAAAAGTGGATTTTGCATATTCCATCAGGAAATGTTAATGAAGATTCCAAACTCTTTCAATGCAGATGAACAGAACAACCAGATTAGAAACTTTTAGGATCTTAGAGCATGTTAGAATATGGCATCTGCAGGTCGTGTATGTAGTGTAGGATGTATATAATGAAGGTGAAGTTCAAATACTAGTGGTATTTACCTTGACCTTGTGTAATAAAAGCGCAGATTTAAGGCTCATTACTCCAAACAGAACAGAAAACATTATTTGTTTAAGCAAAGTTCAATCTTCAAATCAAAAGAATACATGCTTCTTAGATGTGGTTTGCAGACAGAACAATAGAGAACGTGTTTCCTCTGAAATTGTATGAGGATCTGGCTCTGCTGCAGTTTTTATTCTTTGTCATGAAAGAAGAGGTTAGTATCTCTTCTTTGGTTATTTAGTGGGTCATGTATTTTTGTCAGATAACTAGGGATCATGCAACTTCTCACCTTTTTGTCTCAGTGAAACTTAGTGGAGTTCAGAATGAAGTGGAAATAATGGTCAAAGTGTCAAGCTAGGACATTTAGTTGTATAGTTATCTATACTGCCTTTACTCTTCTTTTCTCTGAGCATACACCTCCCCCTCTTTTACTTCACCATCACTGGTTTTCAAGTGCTGGAGTGGTTTGGAAGCTATGTGACTAGATGTATTTGATTGTGTAGAGTTCTGTAGCACTAGCACCCTAACAAAAATGTTGTGTTTTCTGTTGCAGCAGACATGGGAGAAGAGTTTGTGAGCATGCTTACTGAGCTGCTATTTGAATTACACGTGGCTGCTACTCCTGACAAACTCAACAAGGTTAGTGCCTGTTCTGGTCTGACACAGAGCAGAAGCTAGCTCAGATCAGACGGTTCAGAAAACACAGTACAGGAGGGTGGGACTAAAAGGATAAATATAGAGAAGTTGTAATAGAAGAGCTGAAATTAGGAAGACAATCCAGTTGCAGTGTCTAGCTACTACACTTGGCCATATTAGAAAGCCTTGGACCAGGGGTGTCTCAGCAGAACAGAGCTCAGCAGATCTGGTCTTACGTGTTAAGAATAGTGACAGCATTCATGTTCGGAATTATTTTTTCTTGTGCATCATGTTTCCAAGGGACTTCTCCAGATCTTTTCAGCAAGAAGGGAGGACTTGAATTTATCTCATCTAGCTTTAATCATTTAAAAGTTAGATGGCAAAAACATTGCTAGTCACGTTTTTATTTTATTATCAGGCACTCTTAAAGGTGATTAACCTGTTGATCTTTGGCTCAGATGAATATTTATCTCCCTACCATAGATAGACTACATATAACCAGATTAGGCTTAGGTTTTAGCATGTTTTAATTCAACTTTACATTAAAAAAGAGAAACAATAAATTTCCTACTAACCATAACCATGTCTCTGAAGCTGTACACAACTAAAAGGTTTTTCCACTTTAATCTACTTTCTTGCCTGGGAAGGCAGGTGAAAATACAGTGATTTTCTAATTAGTTTTCCTTTAAACATTTAAGACAACTCTCTTACCTCTCCAATATTTCTTGCTTTCTGGTATACCACCCTTTTAATTTTTAATTTGGGAAAGTTATTTCCATGTACATTCCTTTGAGTGCTACCTCATACAGCTGAAATCCTTGTAACTTTGGTATTAACAACAACTTGGTATATTAGTTGAAGAACGTCATACCTGGACAGGACTTATCCCTGGTTGATCCCTCTATGCAGTCAGAAATACCTCTCCCTACAGTTTCTTTAATATACACTTAACTAAATGTCACCCAAAGGCATGATATATTTAAAACTTCTGAATGAAAAAAAAGCAAGTAATTAAATGTACTATTAATTAACATTTTGGAATATCATTTTATATTCCCCATTTGAACTGTACTTGGGGGTTGGGTTCTTTGTTTGGCAGGCTAGGAAAAAAGCTCATGAGTGGCTGGATGAAGCCAGTTTTTCCACCTCAGTAGAAATAGAAGAGAAGCTAAACGAAAAACCTGGAGAACCTGATGAAGAAAAGACTGAAAAAGGAGAAGATAAAATTGACAGTGATAAAACAGAAGTCCATAAGAACAAAACTGTGGAGGTAAAATACCTTTTGGAGGATAAGTTTAATTAAGCAAATTCTCATACATTGTTAGATAATATTACTTCTTTATCTTCATGTGTTGGTATTATATGTTGTGCTTATTTGTTAAACTCATGGAGTTATTGAGAAAAATTAATATAAAACTACTCAATGTAAACCCAATAGGAAATTAACTTACATAAATATTTTTACTGTTAGTCTTTTCCTGTGAGTAAATATCAAAACATCAGGAACTCTGCTTATCCCTTTTTTTTCCCCATCTACATTTTTGTGTGTACACGTGTTTATACACAACATACAGTGAACTGATGGATTCTGTGGTGTAATATCTGTAGGACTTTGAAGGTCATATGTCAACATTCCTTAGTATCTCTTTCTGCCGATGACAATACATGGAAAAATTTCTGCAACTTTATTTAAACTCTTGAATAGTTCAACTCACAAACAGACAAAACAAATATTACTTTGGCAGTTCACAAGTATTAACTCTCTTGATGAAAGATAGCACTGAAGGCTAAATGTGTTTTGTCCATTTAGACAACCACTCCTATTGATACAGTTAATTGTCATTGAATATTTTATGTGAAATTACAGCAATATTAAATGTGGTTTGGATCTTTGTCAAGTTTTTCTGAATTAATTTTAATTACCTGCCACGTTTCCTTACGCACAAAAAAAAGTCCAAATAAGGAAATGGAGTTACATTTTATATATTAAAGATTTTTACGTGATTGCAAATTTCCAACTGGCACCAGCTTGTGAAAGTTGTGTTGCCAAAGTGCTAGGTAGAATTTTTTATCATATCTGATAAAAAACACTTTTTTTATTGGGAGATTTATCCACTTCTAATCTGGAAATTCATCTGAGAAATGACTCAGTGCTTTTGGCTCCATATGGAAGCAATTATGACTTACTCTACAGTTAAGGGATCTTTGTATTTGTTAGGAATAGACTTAAAAGCTCTATTTTCAAAAATCTGAGGGTCCAACAAAGCTCCCATACAAATAAATAGTAGATTTTTTCTTATTAATTTTCCAGGCTCAGCGTAACATCTGTATTTTATTACCAGTGGGTATTTCATTTTCCAGTATCATTTGTGAGGATAACTTCATGGTGCATGTGGTCCATATTTCTGCTTGAGGGCGGTGGGGGGAGAATTCTGTTTTACAAATTAGTTTATATTTATATATATATGTACATTTATGCGTGTTGTTAATATTGATGATACTGTTCCCTGTGATTAATTTAATTTAAGGAAATCTACATGCTGTCCATTGAAAGTCTGGCTGAGGTAACGGCTCGCTGTATTGAACAGCTTCATAAAGTAGCAGAATTAATTCTACATGGACAGGAAGTAGAAAAAACAGCTCAAGATCAAGCAAAAGTACTGACAAAGTGAGTGTTATATATTTCATGTATGAACGTTTGACATTTGCTTGAAACTCAGGAAGTTCTGTTGTATTTTTGGCATGTGAAGTCACAGTAAGTTCATGAGTTAACAAACAACATTTGCTTTAGGGGTCCTGGTGCTGTATTTTCTCATATAATCGAGTCAGGTAGGCTACCTATAATTTTTCGACATGTCTAGCATGTTTACAAAAACCTGTTTTGACCTGTTCAAATGCTAAAAGTTGTTGCTTTCCTAGCAAGTGAATGTATATGCTCGTTTGGGATGTGTTTCCTGTCACCTCTGGAAAATATATTGTACTAGCATATACAGAATTTGCCTTTAGAGTGCATAATGCAGCCTTATTATCTGCCAGTAGAGTTTCATTATCTGGTGCTTATCTGCCAAAAATAAACAAAAATCAATCTGTGGTTCTAAACAGTAAGACCACTCTTGTCAGTAACTTTGTAGTAATACACAACATAACATACATAAATTTGAGAAGCCAGTTTACCCAGTGAGACTCAGAATTCAGATCTAAAGCTCTCTGTAGTAAGCAATTTTACTGGTTTCAGTGAGTTTTGCCTACCTCATAAAGATTTCACCATAAGATGTTGTAAGAAGTTGAGTCCTAAGTAAGTAAAGCATGTAAGCAAATGTTTATCTTTAAGAATGGCAGTAACCCTAGCAAAGTCCATGGAAACACTTCAGTCTGAAGCAAAGTACTTGAACGACTGTTTTGCAGAATTAGAGCAAAAGTCTGATGCACCTTGCAGGATGAGGTTCAATACGATGCACTTGTGAATATCTAGCAAAACAGTGAAAGACCTAGAAATAGAACTAGGTCTCCTTGTTCTCTTGTGCTGTAACCACAAGGATACTTCCTCTTTTGGTACAGAATAGATGTTTTCTGTGCTCAGACAAGAAACTTCTCACTATTCTCATTAAAGTTTGATTTTTTTCCAACAGCATTTCCAGGAACTGTGTTGCAGTTATCAGCAAAGTAATAATTAAAGGATTAGAATAATAAAAAAAAAAAAGTCATGTGAAAAACAACAACAACAAACCACTAGTGTTTGGGTCAACATGACATCGTCCTGTAGTGTAGTCAGGACATCTTTCCATGGGGGAATATAAAACTTTTACCATGAGTAAAATTTACCCCAAGATATTTTTAATATTACTAGAATCAAAATTGCCTTAGGAACATTGTTGGCTTCTGAGATGAAGTTGGTGCCTGACTTTTTATCCACTGCCAGGACAAGGATGTAATTTTATATTTGTCTCTCTTTTTTTAAACCAGTGTTACAAGTGCCATGTGCAACGAAGTTTCATCTTTATCAAAGAAGTTTTCTGATTCTTTAACAGCAGCTGGGGTAAGATAACAGCATATTCTGTACCATTTGGGCTTTTATTAACATAGTTCACCTCTTTGTCCAAATCCTGTGGCTTTATATGAGATACCAGCAAAAAGGGCATTTCTTCCTTCAGATCATGAACACAGAGCATTCTCACAGCAGATTCCGTGCTGTAGAGAAAGTAGACAAGACTTGATAGACTGCAGTGTGTCCCCAGCCTTCTGAAATTTCTCTTTCTAGACACCGTTCTCCCATTTTTCCTCATCACCTCTCAGCATTCATTTACTCTTATTGAAAAGGCCCCACATTTAAGTCCCACCAATTGATGACATTTTATTCTACTTAGCCTATCCCTTTTGAATGCATTTGTGAAAAAGTCACTAACGGATAATACTTCCAGCACCTTAAGATGGTTTCATGAGCTGTCTTCTTAGCCTTTGCTAAATTTCCTGGCCCAGGGCCATTGTTTTTGCAAAAGGCTTAAGAGATTAGAAAATCTCTTTGGTCTTCTTTCTTAAAAAAAAAAACACACTGATTTATATCCCAAGATGGGCCATTTGGGAACATCCACTTATCTGTGAACATCTTTGCCAGAAATGTGATTTATTTCCCATTCCTGTTCCCTTTCCTTTTACTAGCCTGAGGACATTAATCTGAAGACAAATGGGGAGATACTATGTAGGTGAGCAGTGAAGGCCTTTTCAGGGCCTGTAGTGCAGAAGGAGTTTCAAAAATGACTGACATCTGAATATTCTGGCAGGATCCAGAGGCAAAAATTGTGCTGTTGCTGAAATTATTCATAATGTCAGAAAAGAGTTCTGGCTCTCCTGATTACTCCAGTAGAGGGTGAATATACATCAAAGGAAATTTCTTCAGTTCTCCCATGAGCTCTTCCAACACATATCTGAAGAAGTTTTTTTCAGAGTTATTTGTAGAGAAGATGCCTTATTGGATTGCTTTTATTCTGAATAATTTACATTTTTTCCCATTACTCTGGAAGAATCTGCTTATTTTGCAATTTGGTATTGTGTTTTAGCATATTTTTATGTGACACTTGCAATAAATACATGCACAGACACATAAAAGTAAATTGCACATGAAATATTAAGCTGGCACAACTCAGGAAAATGAAAACTAAAGCTTTCATAAGCATCGCACTAGGTTTTGATCTTATAAACTCTGTACTCAGATTTTAGGACCAGACTGCTCTTGTGAACATTTGTGTGTAGAAACTGAGCATAAATACTCTTCTCAGTGCAAACATATTCTCTAGAAGAAAGTTTGAGTTGGGCTACCTGGTGGTCTTTTATGTGCGGTCCTATCCCTGTTAGCTTCTGGAAGAAGATGTGGGACTTCTGCTCATCCTGATTAGGCAGGTTAGCAAGGAGCACTAATCACACACAAGTCTTCACAAAACTGCTTCTTCCTGCATGTCCTGCTGGTTCAGTTTCCTCCTTAAGCTGCCAGCAGCACTTGGTTTCACAAACATATTCCAGTATCTTGCAAAGTGCATTGACTCATGCAAAACAGAAATAGTGTAGAACAGAAAATAGTGTTTTTTAAGACACATTGCTGCCACTATTAGCTATATCCGTGTAATTCAGGTGTTAGTTAGAGTGCTGGCTCTGCCCATAGTCTATAACATTGTCAGTGTTTCTAAGAGTGAGCAGTAATGCAGAAGTAAGAAATAGCAGTTTTGCTAGCTATGCAAGAGTTCTTTCAAACTTAAACTTACTATGTATACAGTCCATGGTATTTGATACTGCTCTCTGTCTGTTTCTGGACTTTATTGACAATGAACAAAACATTCTGTAATGGGTTTTCTAGTAACTAACAGGAAAACTGCGTTTTTTTTTTTCTAACCATCTTCACTTTGTTCTGCCATCTCTGAGCTAAGATCTGGATGTATCGTGTTTCTTTAAATCTGTAATGTGAAAGCTGCAATGCTCTAAGGGGACATCCTTCAGTTAAATTAAAGGGTATTGTATTCCCTTTGTTCTAAAGAAGTCCACCATTGAGTATTAGAAGAAAACAACTCTTGCTTGAGGTTAATATTGTTCTGAAAAACACAATACAAAGAATAGTGAGTAGAAAAAAAAATAAAATTTGCCATTTTAAAAAGCAGAAGAGTTGATGAATCTGTTTTCCAGGGCTTTGATTTCTGTAGCCTCTAGTAACATCACTACCCATTGTACCCATTTTTATTCCTGTCTGGTGGTTGAGAAAAATGCTGTGCTTGCTGAGCTAGTTGCACATAGATTCACTGGTCAGCCTGTGTTGTCTAGCTCAATATACACTGCCTCTAGTTGAAGATCTGTTTCACGTGTTTTTCCTTCTGAAGGGGAACTAATCTGGGCCTTTTACATCTGCCTTTTCCTTAAACTTCTAAGAACATAATTATCTTTCCACTGTGTATTTCTCCTTGCTTCCTTGGAAATCAGCCAAGGGTTAAAAAACTTTGAGGGTGTTGAAAAGGGCACAGGCAGACAAATGGGCAGACAATGTAATCACATCAATTTCATATCCATAAAAAAACAAGCCACTTGAAACTGTGTGGTACATGAATTAATGAAAAAGTAAAACCCTGGGTCTGCCTTAGTTCATTGTACTCGGTGATAGAAATACATGGGGTCTACTGAAGTGCGTATGAAATGTGGACGCAGTTATCAGGAATACTGTGATAAACAGTCTGAATAAGAACCAAGGTGAAACAAGGCCTGTCTAGAATTCATAAAACCACTGCTCAGATGCCAATATATTTCTGTTAAACGTCTCTTTTGTCCTGGCATTTCATTCTATTTTCCGGTTTACAGAGCAGTATGAAGGCAGAAGTTCTCAACCCCCTCATCAACAGCGTGCTGTTAGAGGTAAGCCTTCACCTTTTCCACATTAGGAAATACTGTAGGAAGATGAGTTTGAAATGAAATGGTCACATTTATGTCTGAAGAAGAACTGTATAAAAAGTAATGGCAATATCATTCTGGCTGCTCAGTGCCAGTTCATAAACCTCTTGTTTTTTGTGTTCAGCCTCTCCCACAAATACTGTAGCAGTGATACTGAATTTGGAGATTCTTACCACCTGTGACTGAAGTGAGACTGGCCAGCTCCTAAGTGTTACTGCTGCATTGGTCAGAGCACAACAGGCAATTAACAATGTGCTGCTTAGACCTTTTTTAACCTATGCACAAGTTGCCTGGGCTAAGTCTATTCTTACTTATTCTGTTACCTATTTAAAATCCTACAAGTATTTCTTACTCACAGATAGTTTCTGCCTATGTTTTTCTTTAAAGTTCGGGTTGAGGGAATGCTACGATGTTTCCTGTCCACCGGCATTTAGATTTCAACAAAGATTCACAGTCTAGCTGCTGGCTTGGTCAGCACATGGACAACCATGCATCGACATCAAAATGTTCATGAGTGATTTCTTCTATTAAACATCATGATCTATTTTTCATCAGAAAAGCACAATAAGCAAAACGTGCCTCAGTTTTACTGAGGAGAGAAGAGGTCAAGAGGAAGTAATATGTTCATAAAGTACTACGTGTACTAAATGTGTACTATCTGCAGCATTAATCCTTTTAACTCAGCTGATGAGATCACATCTTTAAATAGACATATACATACAGTAGTGACTACAAATTGTAATTATGTATTTAGCAGCCATGATCCCTTAAAAATGAAGAAAAGGTTTAAAATAAGCATTTTTTTTGCACTGGATTAACAGTAGCTTTAAGGAAAATAATGGAAAGTTGAATAGAGCTGTAAAGATTTCTGTACAGTTCCTTTTGTTACAGCATAAATTTGTTATTGCAGCTGACACATCTTTGTATGGAATTGCAATGTCTGGGAATGTCCATAATTGTGGAATAAGCTATTTTGTAATTCTTAAACCTCATGATTTGTAAACAAATATGTACAGCCGAGGTTCACAGAGTATTAGAAATTCCATAAATAGTACAATGTTTTTAAACTCTTATAATAATTCAAACTGTTAATTTCAGTGACACTTCCTCCTACACCAGATTCAAAATTAGTTCTCTTGATGGGAAGCCTAGCTGATTTGTATTACAAGAGTCAAACCTACTTCTGAACACAGTGGCATTTTATTCTACTCACATTACAAACAAAACTCTCCAAAAATCCAAACTGAAGGGAAATCAGATTTTTATGTAGGCTATGCTTATTCTCTGTAAACTCTTGTAATGCATTTTGTTATCTATGGGTTGTAAAATCTTGTGTGAATACATATGCTAATATAGCGTGATGCAGATCTAAAAAAGGCCGTGTTTGTTAAAAAAGTACAATGCAATTCCTGAAATGTATGATAGCTATACTGATAAACCATGTGTTTTCTCTCCCCATTAGGGTTGCAACAGTACTACTTATATCCAGGATGCTTTCCAGCTACTGCTTCCAGTTCTGCAAATTTCACATATCAAGACCAGTTGTCTGAAAGCACAAGAGTGACAGTTCCCCAGCAGTTGTGACCACTGGGCTTAAGAGAAACCACAGACCTAATCCCTTTAATGTATGCAGATAGGAGAGATGGTATGAAAGACTTCTGGCCACTTAGAGTCCTTTGAAGACACTAAACGCGGTTTTGCACATACAATATTGAGCAACTTTTTAATACTCTTTTAGACTTTTTGACTTTAGAAGTATTTAGAAAAGTAATTTCTTTTCCGTTAGAGTATATCCTTTGTATTAATTTAAACTGAATCAATAGTTAGTTGATGTTAGTATTGACATAAAACCAGTTTTAAATGTTTACCCTTTCAGTTGTAGACAGGGTGAAGCAAATTAAAATGTAGAGCTTTTTTTAAACATTTCAGCCCAAATGACCATTTTTATTCTTTGCTCCCTAACTTCCAGTTAAAAATGTATATTTCAAAAGTTGGTTTCAGTATTTAATTTTAGCCAACAAGAACAAATTATCATGGTGTTGCAGTCATTAAATATTATTTACAACAGTAAATAATAACCTTGTAAAAATCAGTACCACTTACATTACACTTTGTGTTAAAGGAGTTGTACGGTAACAGGCATTAACTTTGCTGAATTAAAATTCTGGAGGCTATGCATACAGAGTTATCCTGAAAACAAATTGTCTGAGCCAGTTAGAGTACGGGTAAAGCTCTATATTTGCTGACCCATAATTTCATATTCATTTATGTCTATCTCTTAATTCCAACTGGCTGAACAACATTGCGGGCAAAGCAATTTTTCAAATATGTAAGGAACAGAAAACTTCTCTTCTTTTGTTTGTTCATGAAACACCCCCGAAATAGTCTCATCTCAGATGTGTAACTAGAATACCCCTTTGGGTTTTAACTTGGTGTTGAAACATTTTTAACCTTTTTATAAAATTGAGTTAATCACACCAGCAAGTCAGAAATACAGTTTTGGGCATAAAAAATGAGGTCATGAAGAGACAATTGCTTTGGGTGGGGAGGTCATGTGTCAGAACAATCACCTTTTCTCTGAGGCAGTGGCTAGACAAAATATAACTGAGCAGCAGGAATGACATTTCAGAATAACACTAACAACCGTGATAATTTGTCCATACCCTTATCTTAAAATCCTGAGCTGTGAATCTCAGAGTCTGCTTAGCCTAGTTTATCTTGAAGACAGGAAGAACCTCCCAGTATTTTATGTAGCCTGTTCTCCTCGATTTTCATTGTTTAATACATTTCTCACAGCTATTTTTGTATTTTTTTTCCTCTTGATACACTCACAAATTGCATTTAAATGTTTTTAATTGTAGCTTACATCTGAATATGTTTAATCATAGAAGCATAGTTCATACATTGTAAAAATAATGGAATAGAACATGAGGAAATACTTTCCTGTCTGCTAGAAATGAAAAACCATGTATATGCTTTGCATATGGTAACTTCTGTGGATCCATAAGCAGTGACAGAAAGGTCTGTCTGTATCACATGCTGTTGTGATCCCTGTTCTGCAGTCACATGCACTGTGACTTTCCAATCTTTTGGTATTTAAAGATGAAATTTTCACTATCACTGCAATACAGATTGTTACTCAAAATGTATTTTCTGCCACCCTGTAATTTTAGAAATCAGAGATTTCTTTCTGGGCAAATAGAAAGGGTACAGTCTTCAAATCCACTTGCACAGAATGTTTAATAAAAGTACTGGGAACCAAAATAAGCAAGCCCCTTGGCAGCTGAAAAGGCAAAGAAAGCTTGGCATTCACTGGTATTTATGTCATATTGAACAGCTAACAGTACTACAACATGGTAAAAAAAAAAAAAAAAAAAACACTAAAAATTGTAACTGGCAAGCAGACTCGCTAGCTGAAAGGTAGCCCACTAGCCATTATATCTTTGCCACTTCCATCTGAAATGGCTTTATTTCTGAAAGCATATTTTCAAATGAAACATTTTTTTTCTTACCCAGTGCTTCTACACTTGGAAAATAAATGTGTTTCTCTGTAGTAGTCCTTTCTGGCTACTGGAAGAGATGCAGCACATGCATGAGTACTACTTGGCCAGGAGTCATTCCTCTATATACGCTTGGCCCAGAATAACTCCTTAGTGTGGATTTCAGAAGAGTATGTGCTTTCTCCATGCAGCTTGGCCATGAGCAGTTTACAGCTGTGGATCTGGACACCAGTTTAAACATTCAGTGGCTTGTAAAAAGTCCTGTTTGTTTAAAGCTTTCTTTCTGTTGTTCTACACTGGCAAGCAGAATAATATATGTGGTTAAAACCTTGTTTGTTTTTCAAACAAAGACTGATAAGAAAGTCTAGTGCTTTCGACTATCAATCATTACAAGTTGGAGTTATTTTTGCTTTAATTTGATCATAACTTGTTGTCAGGAAGCCTTTCTGCCCACGTTGGAATAGAGCTTTACATCCTATCAGGTACCTGTATGTGTGGTATTACTGCCCAGGGAATCATCCAAAGAACATAGCAATAGCTCTTTTGTATTGCTTCTATGCCAAGTTCATGTTTTCTGACATATATGATTTTAGCAACTTTTTTCTTATGGATTTTTTTTTTCTCTGAAATGTGGTGCAGAATATATAGTGATAAACCTGTCAGAAAAAATGTGATAACTAACAGTGGTGCTTTTTAGCAGAGGCTGAACAATACAGTATTAGAAGCCCTAGGGGATTGTGTTTGAAATCATTGAGGGGCATTCTTAAGACAAAGATTGCTTGTCTGAAATATTCCTTAGGAGAGGTCTGTCTTGCTTAAATTATGTATGTATTGTGTAAGGTACCTTCCTTAAAGTAAAAGAAGTTATAAAAAAATAACAGTGTAGAATTGAGTATTCACATCCATACAGTGTAGGAAGAGAAACAGGGACAAACGGGAGCACAGGGATACTCCATCTGATCTCAGATTTATCCCAGGAAAACTGAAGGCGAAATCTTTAAATCAGTTTTAGGCAAACAATATTTCAGTAGAAAAGTACTGTGTAGATGTAACCAGAATATTTTGTTTACACTGGTTTGTATTTTTCCATCAATCAAATAAATCATTTGAGATACTGAACTGGGGCTGTGTGCTAAAAAATAATGTTATGAATAATGTGATGGGAGGATGCACTCAGTGAAGTCTTTCTGATTTTGTGATTTACATTTGGAATGAGTGATTTTATTGAGTGTCTGGCAAAGACAGATGCAAGCCTTAAACTTTTAAGGGAGACTGACTGTTCCTTCTTTCATCACCACCTTTTTCCAGGTCAGTGCACTGAGTGTACTCTGGCATTTGTCAAACTACTAGGTTTTAGGTACTTATCTTAAAAAAATAACTTCAATTGTGAAATTCCCTGTAATCTCGAGCAGATCTCTTGTTCATAACGTTTTTCTCACTTTTGAGTACCTCTTTGTGTGCAGAGAAGAGCGCTTTGGCTGAGGCAGGCTTTTGAGCACGGAAAGTTGAGAAATGTGTCAAGGTGAAACGTAAAGCAGTGTCTGCACACCTACGGACTCACAGATAATCCACTATCATACGTCACCAGCGAAGTAAACTGTAAGACAGGTCACTTATTGTATTTATATATTAAAGATACTTGCATTTTTTTTTCCAAACAAAGCAAGCTGTAATTTGTTTGCTGCTTTTCAGGGTGTAGTCTATTCATGTGTAAACATCTCTTCCCTATGATTTGCTCCTACACTCCTGCATCCACTGCCTCAGACAGCTAAACAAAAGAACTGTCTCTCCCGTTTCTTTCATGTTACTTGGATCATCCATTGAAGCCATTAAGATCTTTCTCTAAAATGTGCCCTAAGCAGACAATACAAAATTACAGCCATCACAAGATGAGGTGTTTTTTAAGGATGTTTCCAGTGTCTCCCACCAGTTAGGATGCATAACAACTTCAATGAGTCTGAAACCCCACAGTATTTTGAGTGACAAATAGAGATTTTCACCTTTTTTTCTGAATCGCAGTAGCGGTTTTTAGCATACAAGCAGTCACCCTGCTCATAGGATTATCTTTGAGACGTTCCACTTCTATCTCGAATGACAGCCCTGTCCTTTCAGTTCGACTCAAAAGAGTGTAAAGAGTGGAAAATGACTTTCCCAAGTTCTTTTAAAAACCATCTCAGAGCAAGGCTTAACGTGACACCATCAGCCAGCCTGACCTACTTTGAGATTCCTGCAGTCTGACTGGAAAGCCCTCTGGACTTTTTTTTCTGGCTTGGGTCAACCTTTGTTGCTGAGACTATGAGGACACAAACAGCTGCTTTTATTGTGCAACCTGTGCATTTTCCAGGCTTGGATACCTGCCCCAGCATTCACAGCAGATAGTATTTCTAGAAGTGCATTGGTGATGGCGTGCAGCTTTGGAATTAAGAAAACAGAAAATAAAATGTCAAGAGTTGAGCTGTCTTAAACAGATAGGAGAGGGAAGATGATTTTTCAAAGGAATAAAAAAAAAAAACAGCAACAACATACTCTCTGGAAATAGGAACAATTTTCAAGGTTGGATTAAAAAAAAGACTTTTTCAAAGAAATTTTCAGCATTGTTCAAAATAAACAAGAGATGACATCTGATTAGTTCCAGCAGAACTGGAATAACAGCACTTCTGAAGTAAAAGACAAATCTGCGTGAAGTTGAAGAAAGTGAGGCAAAGATAAGAACATTCAAAGAGATAAAACTGAGAGGAAAGAAGACAGCAAAATTGATCACACTAGTTCTGCAGAGCTCACTCTCCCTTTATTACCTGTACCCAACAGTCTCTGAGCACGGGCCTGCTAAGAACTTACAAGTCTCCCCACTTAAATCTCCTTTTCACAGCTTCTCTTACAGACTCTTGAGTAGCTGCTCTAGCAGACTCAGGAACAAGCACCTGCCATTTGCTCTGCATTTCAGATATTTTACCCAGGGAGTGAAAGAATATTTCTTACACGACAGTACAATAATGCAGGAGTTAAAAAGTAATGAGAAGACAAACCCTTGTAAAAAGGAGACTTAACAGCAGGACCTTGCTGACAGGGAGGGGAAATGAGGGGACTTGTATACATACATCCCAGCATCATGCTTCTTCATGAGTGGTGTGAAGGAACGGTTTTATCACTATGAGACTGGCTGACCAGGGAGAGCTCTGCTACAGAGGACCTCAGGGCCATGGTGAGGAGCAATTCAGGTGCAAGCCAGCAGCATGCCCGGGCAGAAAGCAGGCCGACAGCCTCCTCAGCTGCAGTAAAAGGAGCACTGCCAGATGGACGAGAGAGTCGATTATCCACCTGGGCACACATGAGACTACGACTCCAGTACTGCATCTGATATGGGACTCCCCAGTACAAGAAACACGTCAGTGAACTGGGGTGAGCTCAGCAGAGGGGCACCAGGCTGGTGCTGGAGGAACTGCCCCATGAGAGGCTGAGAGGCCGTGCTTCCATGTGGCTTGGATCTTGCTTGCAGGACATGGTAAGCTCTACTCAGCGGAGATTAAAGGCTTGTAAGAGCCTCTTGGTTCTACTTGTTGTTGGTGTTTTGCAGAGGTAACTCAGGAGATGCAAATTTCCAAGGTAGTGAGACCAAACACCTGGGAAGCTGGGGGATGATTGGGGGTAATAAAGTTACAGTTTGGCCATCCAAGGAAAAGAAAAGGAGGAGTTACAAGCAACAAGAGAAATAGAATTAAATTACGGGAGGAAGGAAATTAAATCGGGGTCACAAGGAGCGGGGCTGTCCCTGCTACCTGAGATCCCTGGATTACTGAAGGGGACAAGTGATAGATTGTGCCATCATCTGAAGCATTAACACACTGGCTGAAATGGCCTTAGCAATTCTACAGTGGTTTGAGATAGGTATTTTGCTTTCATCTGTAAGGTGTGGTTTTACAGTAAGGTATGGAAAAAAAATAATAATAAATAGTGTGAGAGGTTTATTTTATAGGATGCATTAAAAATCCATTTCTGAAAAGCCTTAAGTTATTACCATAGGCAAGCAATAAAGCCTCAAAAGCCCCCAAATCAAGAAAGACAGCATTTTCTTCATCTGTTTGTTTGTTTTTTATAAAGGATGGTAGCAAACAATAGAAACAAATGCTTTCAATTTATCCAACTAAATTTTAAAAATTCCATATGGTCTCAAATCACTCAGAAGCTAATGTTCACAACTATTCCTATTACATCTGAACTGCTTGGTGCAGCGTAATGACTGGATAAGCAATTTCAGAAAGCTTCAGGAGGGGAAAGCTATATAAATGTAAGGGATGGAGGTTATGAAGTATTAACATGATGCTAAATTGCTGCATATCATACTTGCAATGGGCAGTTTACAATCTGTTCATCCTGATGGATTTAGCACAAGGGAGTCTGAAGTCCTAGCTCTGCAATTTCTGTCTCTGCCTAGTAATTTATGGTCAGATTGTACCCACAAATAATGGGTTAGCACCGAATGAGTTTGGGACCCTGCTCAGCCCAAACAGCTCCACTACACTCAGAGGAGCAGCGATAAATGGAAAGTAAGGAAAAGTTCCAGGAGATAATGAGTCTGAATACTAATGACCTAAGCTAATACAAAAGATGGAAACTCAATTTATCAAAGAGTATAAACCCATTTGGTGCCTTAATGAGTTATAAAAAAAATAATAACAATAATGATTTAGTGGATTGAAGCCAAATGTATAATTTTTTTCCACATTTTTCTTCTTTATCCACCAAGATGTTGCAGAATTTATGAGTGTCATCCTGGTTTACTGCAGAAATTAAAACATACTGCAGAACTCCCTCCTTCTCTATTCCTTTGGCCACTTTCCTCACCAGCCAGAAATTCTCTCCTAAGCATCTTAGTCACCTAGAGCATTAAAAAGGCTGAAAACTGTGTTCATTTCATGAAAATATAGGTTCGTTTCTACCTTCAGTCAGGATTTTATCCTATGGAGAAGATAAATTTCTTCCCAGCTGGAAAAATAAATTATTGCGAGGATTATCTCACAGCCTTATGATTAAGCATTAAATCCTGAATGAACAGAAAATAGATGGAAAATCTATAATTTCCTACTGAAGTTGATTCTACAGCAAAATGTGTTTGTCCATTATTCATATTTTCTTAATACCAGGTAGTCCTGATAGATAAAATGAAGCTTCTCAACTAAACTGCACAGTTGGCATTCTTATGAGAAGACGGGATAACAGAGCTCCCCAGACTGGAAATGGATATGCTTTCTCCTGTGGTGTATTATGTTTCTCCTTTCATGCAGATGGAACTGTACGTCATGTGGCGCCACCTGAAACAAGAGAAAACGTTGCTATCAGAAATAAGAGAAGGTTAGGCAGCAGTATTTTCTATTTTACTTTAAATGTCATTGCAATGTAATTCACAAGTCTATGCTTCTTTTAACTTTTACAATAATTAAATTTCTTCTCCCACAGAAGGAAAAAACATAAAAAATTATTAAGTAGTAGAAAAAACAGGATGTACCCCAGATTGGAGCTAAAGGCCTACAAATGATACCTGCCAGTAGGGTGGTGCTGTAGGTACATGCCCCACAAGACTGTGGTGAAGGAACCTGAGCAAGAAACATTGCACCTTGCTTTCAGGGAAGCTTGGCAGCACGCACCCCTCTAAAGCACTGGCCATGTGCACCCAGCTGAAGTGAGCCAGGAACGATGTTCCTGAAGTGTCTCCAACTGGTTTCTGCAGTGTCTCCATCTCCAGAGAGTTCTCAGGAACTCTCCTTTAAAGGTAGGCTGTGACCAATCTCTTTCTTTGAAATAACTGAGCAGGCTTCAGTCTCGTCTCTTCCCTCCCAAGCAGCTGGATGAGGGGAGAGGAGTTCTGTGTGACACCTGCCTCCTTTCCACACTCTTACACTGTGTCAGCTCCTGGATGTCTCTTTGTGAACTGATCTATCTGCAGCAGAGTGTTCAGAAGTAAATTTGGGGTATTAAAAGGTCTTACTGCAGCTCAACCAAGATAAGCTAAATTATCTTAATGAAAGTTAAAAATAAAAAATAAAATAGAACAATCCAAACCACCAGCTGCAAGGAAGAATTTGCAAACCTGTGCCCAATTTCATTCATTTCATGTAGTACAC